AAGGTCATTGTAATGTATTTTAAATGTGGTAAGGACATTCTTTATATTCTTTATAAGACGTCTTTGACAGTTAGCAAATACACAGTAAATACAGTGTGATATAGTGTAGTAGCCATTAAAATTATACAAGTTTAAGCAGGTTTTTCTTATATTTTCAATAGGTTTTCTAATAGTCAATTCATAATTTACGCCGGAACACCTTCCCCGTATGACAGATAACGGAAGTGAGAGAAAAGTGTTTATTGCGTTTGAAATATGGATATTTTTCTTACAAAACGCATGGATTCACTACAAAAGGCCTGTATTCACATCCTGGAGCAATGTGAGGCACGTTTTATTATGAATGCGCGCGCTTTATTTGACGACTTGTGAACTGTTCAACTGCAACACCCGCTGACTGCAATGATAAAGCTTGGAATAGCCAGGACAATTTTTAATATAACTCCGACTGTATTTATCTGAAAGAAGAAAGTCATATACACCTAGGATGCTTCGAGGGTGAGTAAAACACAAGCCAATTTTCATTTTTGGGTGAACTAACCCTTTAAATTAGGCTATTACCACATTCTGTCAGACTGCAGTAAGCTTATCATGAAGAATATGATTCCTTATTATTGGTCCTAAAGATGTGGAGAGGTTATGTATTTATATTAATTAGTTTTTAGTTTTATTTACATACCCTAACTATAGTAACAATATTTTTCGCCATAAATGTCAAGTTACTATGGTGCAAGTCACACTGTCTTCAAAGAAATTAAGTTTCATAAACTAAGGAGAATCCGTATTAATTTAGTAACTGCAATTACCAAATTCATGTGAGATGTCTTTCAAAAAGTGTAAGAAGGTTTGTCATTTTGTTTAGCAGTGACTAAATGCTATTTTACCATATGGTTATGGCTAAATTAAATCGTTTATTGCCTATATTTTTCAGCAAACCAAAATTGACATTTATTTTAGTTTAATCCACATTACCTCTGCCTACGTGAGGCTGTCATGATAATAGGTTAATCAGTTTTCTTGACGTTTCCTGACTGTTTACCCAGCGCGCTCACGACGTTTCCCAGCGCGAGCTCGAGTGTGTGAGTGTGTGTGTGTGAAGGGGGGCGTTTGGAGTAGGTCAAACTCTGGAGTCAGGGCAAAGCCTTGGAGAAATATTCTTTTAAAAAGTCATTGCCATGAGAGTTGAACAGGATTTTGAACATGGGGAAACGTCTGAAAACTCGGTGAGTGTGTTGTGTTTTACAGAAAATGTATTCAAATCAAAAATAGTAACACGGCTTGTGTTAATGAGATCTAGACACACAGCAGTGGCTGTCACCGTTTTATTTGCTTTAAACAGTTAGTAGATGTTGTAGACTGGTTATATTTGAGCAAACTTTTCATATTTCATTTTACAAATATGTTTATAAAATCTTAAACATGTACTATTGGAATTTCTATCCTAATTTGGAACCCATCCTTTGAAACCCATTGGAACCCTTTCTCATTGAAAAATAATTTGTGCAGTTCTGACAAGCATTACACAAAATTCAGAATCAAATATAGTATCCAATGTCCAGTTTATGCACTTGTTTGATTTTTAAATGATTATTTGATCCCATTAGGATTGTTTTCAAATTATGATAAAAACTACCATAGGAATCTTGTACAGACTGAGATTCTGTTCTTAAGGGGTTTAAATGTTTAAATTAGCGTTTTCCCCTTAAATGATGTTCTCTTAAATTACCCTTCTAAGTTAAGTTTTTTAATACTCAATTCTACCTTCTGAATGAAATCTAGGAATTAGTGAGTTTTCTTGTGTTTGCTTGTGTCACTCGAGCTCATCTATGATAAACACAAGCGCTATCTGTGTCGAAGGCCCAAAATAGAGCTCTGAGTGCCGCTCACAGGCCTCCAGCTCACCATATATGCCTCCACAGCCATGCTGACATTCCCACCTGCTGTCAGAATGTCTTTATATAGTTCTGTTGCTCCTGCATCTATTATCTGGGCCACAGTATTTTTTTTAATGTTTACATGCCACATGCTAAAGCCTATTTTCAGGCATACTGTACTTGAAAAAAATCAAATCTGATATGGATTTAATAGAAGATGCAGACATTTTCATGCCCAAGGCTTTCATAACTGTTGATCGGGCCAGCTATAGACTCCTCCAGCCCACGCTCATTTGACACCTGAGTCAGAAATGAGGTTATGCTGGGTGATAAATCCAAGTGCAAATTGCGTCTCATATCATATTCTTGTTTTGATCAGTTCACACCTGCTCTTTTTTTTTCTGGAACGGATCCTGTTATTGAGTAGTTAATTGCTCAAGTGGGTCTTGTTATCACAAACAGAAGTATCCTCAATATGCCTGTGGCAAAGCATTTGAATTTTTGATCCACAGAAATTAAAAAACAGCATGTTTGCTTGTCTTTTTCAGAGCCAAATGCTGCTTAACCAGCTCAGAGAAATTACTGGCATTCAGGATCTGCAGGTTCTCCAGAGCGCCCTGAACGTATGTTTAGTACAGCAGCACTTATCCATGTGTTTATAACACGAGCAGCAGATGTAATGATACTGACATGGCTATTGATAGAAAATAAGCCTGACAAATGTTTGTAAATATGAAAATCATACCATGTGCGAGAGTTTCCCTTACATTCAGCGGTGAGGGTTTGGTAACCTAGATGTGGTACTAAAACAAAGCATGTGCTAAAACACAGCAAAACATGTTCATGTATTTCAGTAGGGATGACTAATTGTGAGAAAATTCGTTATCCAGGCTAGTCAAGGTGACATCAGCCATGCCATTGGGCTACTGACCACCCAGCCCCCAGAAGAGGAGCACATGCCCGAAGAACCAACTAAAGCCAATAATGAGAGGAACACCTCCAATACACAGAACGGTGGGCTTAAACGACACTATTAATATCAAATGACTTCCATGTCACCACATTTTCCAAAGATGAACTTATTTATGAACTGTGACAGATAATGTCATGATGTTTATTTTATGCTCATGTAGTATGGACTTGTTCTCAGGTGCTGCTAAAGATGATCTGCAGACCGCCATTGAGCTTAGTCTTCAGGAGTCACAGCAGGCCGAAGTGGAGCAGAGAGAGCTGCACAGGTTCATTACCAATAGGGGCAACTGTAACATTTTTACACTTTCCTTCATAACTCATTGACTACTACAAATGTACAAGTCATCTGCTTTTTGTATAAGAAATATTTGCATGTGCCAAAAGTACATTGCTGTTCCAAATGATATTATTACCTTTATTCAGCGAGGACACATGATTTCTGAGGAATCATGTGACACTGAAAACTGGAGTAATGGCTGCTGAAAATTCTGCTTTCCCATCACAGGAATAAATTACATCGTAATATATTAAAATAGAAAATTGTATTTCATAATTATAACATTGTTGCTATATTTTGGTCAAATCAATGGCAAATAAATGAGACCTCTTTCAGAAACAAAAAATCTTACCGACCCCAAAGTTTTAAGGTAGTGTACATGTCACTGACTTTGGGTATGAGTAACTATAATTAATCAACTTGTAATGAAAAGGACTATATCATATTATAAAAATTCTAAGAAAATACTTCTCTAATAATTGTTACAGTACTTGGGGGCAATTGTAATAGTTGGAAGACAAATTATATGAACACACTGAGTCTCAAATAAGAGCACACCTTAAAATAATATTATTGCTTTAATACTCTTTAATGTTAATGAATGGTTTTTGCTGCTCTATAATACTATTTTTAACTGTAAGAAATAATGTTTCAAAAATACAGTAAGTATCTGAAATAAGTTAAATTGTCTTTACTTATATATACTGATCAGCCAACAAGTCAAAAACAGTCCTCAGCATGTTACAATTAATTTTAATGTGTTACAGTTGCCTCCAAAAGCTGGTTATCAAGGGCATCAAAACAGGATAATTTATTGACACCCTCAAACATTATTTCTCAAAATAATTTAAAGGAAAAAATAGAAACAAAATTGAACAACCTTTTCTTTGGCAGAGAGATGGAATTTTATTAACCATAGCCTAAGCAAGTGTCATGACTCTAACCTGAGTGTGAATGAAACAGTTTAGAGCGTTACAATTGCTTCTCTCTCCTGCTACAGTGGTGTTGTGTGAATTTAGAAATCATGGGCAGCAGTAACTATCAGACTCTAGTGTTGACTGTCTTACTTACTCCTGTTTTTACTCTAGGGCTCTTGAGGTTAGTGCAGAAGAGAATGCGGCCTGCGTGAAAAGAAAGAGGTGTGAGGGGTCTGGAGAGAGCTGCAGCCCTGCTGACTGGATCCGACAAGAGGACTGTCCTGTGGGCATCCGTAATGTGGGAAATACTTGCTGGTTCAGCGCTGTCATTCAGGTGCGTGGAGGTTTTAATCACAAATTTCAGGCATTTTGGTAAACTAAATCTTTAGAATGAGTTTTAAAATGAAACAAATTGTGTTGTGAAAGGTAATTGTGAGTGTTGAACTTTTTAATTTTATAGAATAATTTAACAGATTCATTAGGAAATCCAATTGTAAAACAAAAGGACTGCAGTAATGGCTCTCTTCTAACCGGTTACATCATCTGGCCATAGTGTAAATTAAATTAGTGGTGTTGCTAATGACTGGAGAATAGAGAAGATCAGGTGGAGTGTCTGTTTTTTCCTGTTCCTGACTGCAGAAGCATCTCAGAGCTGTAATTTTATTATATCCACTCCAGACTGAATTTAGCGAGGCTTCTCAGATGTCTGTGTTGAAATATAAGCCTTCACTGATATTGATAGATGTCTGAGCTAATTAAATAGAGCACTGTTTTGATGATAAAGAGAGGCATGAACTCATCGAGTGAGTTTATGGCTTACAGATAAGTAACAAACAATCTTTTGTTCATCTGTAATGCAGTTTAATGATGTCATTTGAAAACAGTCCCAGCATGAATATGAATATACCTAGTATAATGCATTACTGCTAAGTTTTCATTTCAGGTTTTTAAATTAAATGAATACTTTACAGTAAAAAATTGGCAGTAACATTTTTTATGGTAAATAAGTGTGGTTCTTTTAAACTTTCTATTCATCAAATAATAAAAAAAACGTGTTAGTTTCCACAAAAATATTAAGCAACACAACTGTTCTCAACATTGATAATAATGTTTCTTGAGCACTAAATCAGCATATTAGAATGATTTCTGAAGATCCTTCATGTGATCCACGTGATACTAAAAATTCAGCGTTGCCATCTTAGATATAAATCATATTGTAAAATGTATTAAAACAGGAAAGTTATTTATAATAATATTTCACAATATTACTGTTTTTACCTGTATTTTTTATCAAGACTGAGTGAGCATAAGAATTTTCTTTCAGAAACATTCTGAAATCTTATCGACCCCAAAAGGTTTTTTGAGAAACCTTTTTTGCATCTGTAAGGTAGAATTATATGTTTATATGTGTATATGTCTTTTTTTGTGCTTATTAAACTGTTGCATGTTGATTTTGACCAACATGAGCAAGCATTGTGTAATTTGATTCCTACTATTGCAAATCGGTTGTGCATGTGTTCAGTTTTTCAGTATATAAGGTGGGTTGTCTTTATTTTTATATGCCAGCAAAGATTACACACTGTGCCTCTTGTTAGCTTCTTAAATTGTTGATAGTATCACATTTATTACCCAAGACAGGGGCGGACTTACCCATTAGGCAAACGTAGGCGACCGCCTTGGGCCCCCAAAAGCCAAGGGCGCCCTAAAAGGCTTTTCATATAGGAGATGCGCATTAAGCGCTGACACGCGAACGGTTGCTGTTTACGGTATTACCACGACAACCGTCCGAATTGAACATGCTTTTTGTGTATCCTGCTTGAAGGAGATGAAAATATTACGCATCTGAAGCTGTAATTAAATATTGAAAAACAGTGTGAATTATATGTTTATAATTGTTTTAAATGCCGCTTACTCATTTATGAGAAGGAACCAAGTAGAGGACACATACGCAGTTACTTTTTTGGTTGATATAATCCTTAGTTGTGTAAATGTATAATTGCCTTTTCATTATTTTTTTCAGTTTTATTTAAATTTGTAGTTAAAATAACTAAAAATAAATGTATTTTAAAGTTTAGAATTAGACAGCCTTTGCACACACAGGCTTACGCTGGTAACTCATCAGTGGACTTTCCTCATCAATATAGGCTATATTTTTTCACACTTTTCTCATTCTATATTTCTGACGTTCCAAAAGCGCCTCCTACTGGCAGAGAATGAATGTTCATTTTCAATAATCCAGTCTGTAGTTTTTTTTCAATGCGAAAATCCACCCACATAACCCCGTTTTAAATTAATATAATAATTTATACTTCTGACTCACACTTGGTTTAACGCTCAATTGTGAGGTTTATCATTTTATAATAATTTATTTTGTTTTTGTGAAAACCTGTATCTCAACTGTAAATCAGTTGCTATTTCGTGGTCTACAACATGAAAGAAAGCCATTATAACATGTACATGAAAAATGTAGAAACATTGGATACAACTATGGGGCACCATTGTGCAGCAGCAAGCATCACAACAAAAAAGGAACCTCAAGGTTGATCTAGGAAAATGTGTGCAAATGTATAGGGCCCCATTCCTATATTTTGTCTGGGGCCCCCAATTCACTAAATCCACCCCTGACCTAAGAGACCCAAGTATTTATTCATAAAATACTTTAAAACTTGGTACATGAAACACAACAAGGGTAATACTCAACTGAAATGCACCCTGACATCAAAAGATGTTACTAAACATGACAACAAAATCAGCAACAACTGTGTCAATAAAACTGTTCAAATAGTGCGACTATAATTGTTCATGGCCTAATGCATGCTAGACTAAAAAACGAAATTCTCTTGTGTTTAGTCTCTGTTCCATCTGCCGGTGTTTCGTAGACTGGTCCTCAATTACTGCCTGTCTGAGCGTGTGCTGGAGAAATGCAAGAGTCATTCAGTGAGTAATCTGCCAGATGAGCATGAGTATCGTTTTGTCTTTGTGTTGTATTGAATGTCATTTATATATGTTCAGTTTTCAGCAAATGTTCATTGTTTTGGTGAACAATTCCTCTAAATTAAAATTCAGTTGAATTACTGTCTATCTTTATGCCAATATTGCTCAGCTTCACTAGTAGATCTACTTGAAAATGTGAATTATTCCACTATGCACTGACTGAATTTCTGTTGCAGGAGAAAAGAAACATTGCCTTCATGCAGGAGTTGCGTTGCCTGTTTGCTCTGATGGTGGGCTCAAACCGTAGGTTTGTAGACCCCTCTGCAGCAGTCGAGCTTCTCAGGGATGCATTTAGAACCAGTGAGGCACAACAGGTACATCATTTGAATAATATGATTCACAGCTGTTCTGTCGGGGGCTAATTTTAAAATGAAACAGTTGCAAATGACGGGCTAATAAAAGGTATCTTGAAATGTTTGCCAATCACAGCACTTTATAAAGCTACAATTAGAGCTTCTTCTAAACAGACACTGTGTTGAATTATTGGAAAACAGTGTTTATTTTAAGCTTGCTTATTCTAGGATGTCAGTGAATTCACACACAAGTTGCTTGACTGGCTCGAGGATGCATTCCAGCTGGCTGCTAATGGAAAGTAAGTTTATAGATTAAAAATAATTATAGCCTTTGTTGAAGTGAGCATGACTTAATTTTGATGCTTTGATTTGTGATGCTTTAAATGTTTTCTTACAAAAAATGGACCTCAAAAATATTAATATCATTAAAGTTGTATAATATTATATAATACAAATTAGTCTAAATAAAAAATAATTACATTTGATATTTGATAACTGCAATATTTTGTAGTGGCTACATCTATGTTCACTGAATCCTTAATCCATTCCACAGTTTCACAATGTTCCTTTTTGGCAAGAAACAAATTGAAGCGATTCTTCATAAACTCTTTTAAAATAAACTTACTTACTAAGAAATGTGAATCATTTTTTGAGGGCAGTTCTCCAGCGGACAAATCCACCACAGGGTGCATCATGCCAGAAAATGATTTTAAAATATATTTAAAAAATAGTTTGACTAAGACAAACCTTTTTAATGGTTTATTTAAAATAATTGTATTGTCATTTTATATGCATCATGTGCTTGCAACACGAAGAAAATGTGTTTGTTACCCCAAGGCAACATCTTGCTGTGGAGGGTTAATTAATAAATGCTAATGAGTGTAGCATTTGTTAAAGAATCATGAATAATTACCCTATGGTATATTTGGTTGCTAATGTACTCGCCAGGAATTCTTTTTTTTTGTCCCAAAAATAAAACATGGCAGCTGTTATTTTCAGTAACCCAGAGGATAAACAAAACAACCCCATGGTCCAGCTGTTTTATGGCACATTTGTGGCTGAGAGACTTCATGAAGGTAAGAGAATGATATTTCTTCTGTAATTATTCTGTTTATCACAGTCCTTGATGATATTTGTGTAATTGTGTGCAGAAAAGATTGTGTCCAACATTGAGCAATTTGGACAATACCCTCTCCAAGTGAATGGCTTCAATAATTTAGATGAATGTTTGGAGGGTGCCATGGTTGAAGGAGAGATTGAATTGCTTCATTCGGATCAGACAATGTCCTCTGGCCAAGAGGTGAGTTTTTCTACTTTAACTACATACAGTTATATAAACGCCTGTCATTTATTCTGTTGTTTACATTGCATTAACATTTATACATTTGGCAGACATTTTTATCCAAAGAGACTCTTCATTCAAGGTACACAATTTATTAACCATTAAGAAAGTCTTTTCTTGCCTTGGGAATCAAACCCATGGCCTTGGTGTTGCTTGCACCTTTTTCTAATGTTTGAGCTAAGAAAGGCTCAAAGATATCAAGATATTATAATGAAAACAGAATAAGGATATTATTGTGAATCATGCACATGTTCTTTTATATATATGTTTGTTTTTTTAAGGATTTATATTTGGCATTTTGCCTTTATTATGACAGGATAGTGTAGAGCAGACAGGAAGTGAAGTGGGGGAGAGGGGGGGGGGCAGGATTGGGAAAGGTCCTCAAGCCGGGATTTGAACTCGGGACGCACAAAACGCATGGGTGTTATATGTCAGCGCACTGCCCACTAGGCGCCGACATGCACAGCTTCTTTTAAATTAATTAAAAGTATGTGGTTTTTCATTGTTTGCAGAGGTGGTTTTCTAAGCTGCCACCAGTGTTGACATTTGAGCTGTCCAGATTTGAGTTCAATCAGTCTTTAGGGCGACCAGAAAAAATACACAAAAAACTGGAGTTTCCCCAAGTGGTCTATATGGACAGGTGAGAAATGTCATTACTACAGCTTGTATTTATTTATTTGTAGATTTATCTATTCATAGATATATGTATTAATTTATAAATATATTTATAACAGTAAATATTTATTTATTTTTATTTATTTATGTTTGTTTGTAGATGTATTGTTTATTTATTTTTAATTATGTATGTTTTGTATAAATATACTTATATTTTTGTATAAAAATTAAATTTATTTATCAGTTTATTTAAGTATATTTACTTATTTATTCATTTATTCATTTACTTATCTATTTAATTATTTGTTTATTTTGTCTCTTCAAAGCATAAAAAGCAATGGTAAATGGAAATTCACTTTTTCTGTGAGCAGATACCTCCACAAAAATGTTGATCAGACCCATGGTAGGAGAGGAGAAGTCAAGAGACTCAAGGACCAGTTAACAGTTCTACAGCAGAAACTTGAGGGGTACGTTCAAAAGCCAAATAGTGGCTAAATCCTGGTCAACACTGCAAGTAATCTTTGAAAAATTGTTATTTGTGGTTTGTTTTTCAATTTTAAATATTTAAACTATAACTTTCTTTTTTTAAAGATATAAAAACTATGGCTCAGGGCCAACCAAATACCCCCTGGCAGACATGTTGCAGTATGTGCTGGAGTTTGCCACCACTAAACCCACAAACGTGTCTCCAGCCTCAGTACCTATGAACCCTGAACACACAGAACCCAGCTCAAGTGACAGCAGGCAAGGCCCGTTTTCCTGCATTCTTATTCATAGCTGTGTGACAAACTGTGCCTATTGTTTGTTTGTCCCTGTCTAAGTGTTTAATTTTTGCTGTAGTCAAACAGAACCAGACGATGCAGGCTCATCAGATGGCTCGGGCTGCCCGCAGACAGCTACACAGAGAACTCCCATACACAAGCCTTTTACTCAGTGCAGACCCCCCATAGAGGTGCCACTGCAACCAGCCCCTCACAGCGTGACCGAGGAAGAGCTGTACTTCGTCAGGAGCTGCTTACAGCGCTGGAGAGCAGAAGTTGAGAACACCATAAATGGTAGATGCTTCACTGAGTGAAGCTTGAATCAATGTAGTTAAGTAAACACATAAACTCTGCCTCAAATCCTAGTGATTTTAAGGCATCATAGGTGCACTCTAGATGCAAAGACTTTCCCAAAAAAGAATGCAGTGTAAATAAGAATGTGCCAATTTGCCTCCTACGTAGAAAGCAATATGTTACAGTAAATGTGTAGCGTCAAAAAGTTTTTTTAGTTTTTTTTGTTGAAAGAAACAAATTATTTTATTAGCAAGAGCACATTAAATTGATCAAAAGTGACAGTAAAGACATTAATAATCTTACAACAGGTTTCCATTTAAAAGAAATGCTGTTTATTCATCAAAGAATCCTAAAAAAAAATCACAATTTCCACAAAAAGCAGCACAGCTGTTTCAACATTGATAATAATAAGAATAATAATATGTTTCTTGAGCAACAAATCAGCATATTAGAATTATTTCTGAAGGATCATGTGACACTAGAGACTGCAGTAATGGCTGATGAAAATTCAGTAAATCCAATAAATTACATTCAAAAATATATTAAAATAGAAAACAGCTATTTTGAATTGCAATAATATTCCATAATATTATTAAAAACAATATTACTGTTTTTACTATATTTTTAAACAAATAAATGCAAAAGTCTTTGTGAGTACTTTTTTCAAAAACATTAAAATTCGTACCTACACCAAACTTTTATGTCTGAAGTAGTATGGCCAAATATTTACATTATTCATAAAACAGTAGCTGAAAAAACCTGGATGTCCTACGACTACACACATACCATATTTAATAACAAAATACACATTTTATCTGTGAAAATATAAATTCAAGATGTTCAAGTTACTTTGAGAAACATTATTTAAATAATTAACTGAAAATTCCTTTAGTACTAAAAAGCATTGATAGAAATGCTTTAAAAATACTGACTATTTTACCAAAAATTGAGAACTCTGTGCAATGTTTATTAATGCTTTCATTATATTTTGTCGCCTTTATTGAAATCAGTTGTGAGTCAAATCTTCTGTGCACTTTGCATGCTGAGTGCTATTTGTTTGGCACGCAGAGTTCTTGATGCCACAGAAGACAGCTGTCTATGTAGGCAGCGAGGCAGCTCACTGGGTTTTGTATCCGAGCTGTAATGTGCATTTTAATTTTTCTGTTCTGAAGGCCATCATTATTCACAAGCAGTTATCTTAATGCGTTTGTGACTGTATCCTGGCCTCAGGCGTAGCGTATTGATCTGTGTTCCCTCTCTGTGTGCAGAGCTGAAAGCCAGCATTGACAAGGTCAGCCAGGCCCTGGAGGGCATGTACTCAGATAACAGTCTGTGTCAGGTAAAGTCTATATCCTGAACACTCATTGGTACTTTTATATTCACAGAGCCCTTTCAAGAAATTTGCATGACACCTCAATGTACCCTGTCTTCTTATTTGATGCTTCCAGGTGCCCTATAGGCTGCACGCTGTGCTCGTCCATGAAGGACAGGCCTCCGCTGGCCATTACTGGGCGTACATCTATGATCATGCTAATAAACGCTGGCTGAAGTACAACGATGTAATGGTGACAGAGTCAACCTGGGAGGAGCTGGTTCGAGACTCATACGGTGGCATGACCAACGCCAGCGCCTACTGCCTCATGTACATCAATGACAAGCTGCCATACCTCATAGCAGGTACTTTCCCCATGTGCTTCTCAGATTACGCATATGCACTTAGATTTTGCTGAAGGAGCCAAGCACATCACACACTTGATTTAAAGCTTTGGCTTTAGCTCGGATTTCTTTTAGAAATTAATGCTGATAGATTTGCTGGCAGACTTTATTATTTTAGAGTCTCTGCCAAGCTGTGAACATCAAATACTCTTAATGCTTTTAACTATCTAATCCTTTTTATTTTGATTAGTTTTTCTAGTATTTTCTGTAAAAAATAAAGTACTATAAATATTCATTTGAAATAGGGGTGGACGTTTAATGCATTATGTAAATGTTTTTTATATTAAAACGCAATAAAAAAGTGTTTTTTAAACACAGCCACCACTGTTCAAGGGCAGGTACTCTATCTATGTCTGCCAAACAAAATAACATTGCAAGTTGACGTGCTGTCTTTTTTTTATTTTTATAAATTACTTCTAATGCCGTTTTAGAGACCTATGAAAACTGTTATATTTATTACCCAATTTCTTTTTTTTCTTTTTTTCCAAATTAAATTTTTCCGTTTCGATTTTTCTAGACTCTGTTTTTATGGTTAAATTACATTTTATTAATCAAAAAAGCATGTCTAAATAATTGAAATCATGAAACTTACAATATTAAACAGCAATTTAGTAAAGGTTTAACAAAAATTCAAATTTGAAGGCCCTATCAGATAGGTTTTTATTTTTTATCAAATTTAGTTTTATTTTTACCAAATATTTTTTACCAAAATATTTGACCAAATATTAATAATCAAAAGCATATCTAATTAATTGATTTTATAAAAATAAAAAAAAGTAATAATATATAATTATTTTTATAATTTATAATTTTTATAATTTTTTTATAATTAGTGTTGTGTATTTATATTTTTTTGCTAAATAAATTCTGGTAAATAAATACTTTTCTGGTTAATATTCCTTTAAAAATAATGTTTTAATAATAATTTTATTATTCTGTCACAGTTTCTTCAAGTTAAACCAAACTTTTATTTTGACAGGTTGCTTTGAAGACCTCTAGGTTTCTGTTTGAATATGATATGATGATAGTTTTACTCAAAAGAAATGGAAAAAACCTCATGAAGTGATTCTCAGAGCAGACTGCAGAGGCTGGAAACACTGCAAGCGTCATGCGTGCTTCAGTATGTGTGTAGTAAATGAAACCGCACATCTGCACCATTCATTCACACTGAGACATGCAGAATATGCAGGACTCATATTTAAATGTTTTTTTTGCAGCTTAGTATTCACAGACACCAGTCTATATTGCGTTTTGATTTAACTGTACTAGCCTACTTTTGATGTATCCATCCAAAATTTGGCAAATTCCGTGACATTCTGCCTTATAGTGTAAATTCCATTTTTAGGACTTGATTCCGCGATTCAGTCTGTGTTTGCCACATCACAGAAATCATAGGGCCCTAAGGTTTATCATAGCTTATCATTGTGAAAAAAATTGTATCAGGTTGTTATGTTGAAACACTAAATATAACAGTAGAAGACAGGAAAAGAGTAAAAATAGAAGGGGAAATCTACCCAAGTGTCAAGAAGTCGGGACAGTCAACATGTCATAAACATTGACATTAATAGACATTTTTTGAGTGTTTTTCTTAAAATAAAGTTAACTTTGGCTGCATATCACATTAGTTTTTACTTTATCAGAGTTGTTGAAACTGGAGATTCACACCAGAGTCTTTTCAGCACGTTATCTGTTTTTTTTTTAATAAAATCAAATAATTCACATTTAGTATACAGATTGAGATTTATGAAGGAAATAAATCAAATTTCTGAGAATAAAGCAGAACTGCCATATAAAATTCCAGGTAATCGCACACACTTAGTTTAGTGCAATCTTTTTATTTAATGGAGAAAAGATCATGGAAATTTAAAATGAACAAAAGTCGATGTCATAAAGAACAAGAAGTTTGCACTTGCATTTTTTTGAGATTGGCTGGCTGATTTTAGGAGCTGAATGAACAAAACTCTATTAACTAATGCCGTTTTAGAGCCCTATGAAATCCGTTATATTTTTTACCAAATTTCTTTTTTTTCCCCCAAATTAAATTTTTCCGTTTTAATTTTTCTAGACTCTGTTTTTATGGTTAAATTAGATTTTATTAATCAAAAAAGCATGTCTAAATAATTGAAATCATGAAACTTACAATATTAAACCGCAATTTAGTAAAGGTTTAACAAAAATTTAAGGCGCTATGAGATAGGTTTTATTTTTTCTCAAATTTAGTTTTATTTTTACCAAATATTTTTTACCAAAATGAAAACATCATGGAAATTTAAATTGAACAAAGGTCAATGTCATAAAGAACAAGAAGTTTGCACTTGCATTTTTTGAGATTGGCTGGCTGATTTTAGGAGCTGAATTATCAAAACTCTATTAACTAGCCACTCTGGATGTCAAGTATCGAGATTGCAGAGCCATAACAACACCTTTTTACCACAGAATGTTAAATAAGATTTAAAGTTTGATGGATAAAATTTGGGCTGTCACTCATTTATTTAACATTAGGCCTTTTTGTAATGCTTTTCCTATCTGCTACAATAATGAAATTGAACATGACTTTTTTCTTGCATATGAATGATAGAAGACACGGACAATGAAACAGGGCAGGTTCTGAAAGGAATGGACTCCCTCCCGTCTATCTTGAGGCGTTATGTTCGGGAGGATAACCGCTGGTTCCAGCAGGAACTGAGAGAATGGGAAGAGCAGTTCAGCCAAGCCCAACGTGAAGAAGTGCAAGTTCAAACACACACAGAGAAAGCCGCCCCAGAAGAGCCACAGAACCCAGAGCAGGAGCCAAACCCAGAACCAGTCCAAGAACAAACAAATGAAGCGTCCCAAGAACCACCCACAGATTCAACACCAGCACCTGCCCAGGACAGTGAAGGTCAGAACCTTTTTCTTCAGGTCAGATGTTTTCCATGTATGCATTGCAGGTATATCTTCAACGTGCTTTCCCTTCCCAGAGCCCATGGCCAATTCAACAGCTCTCAACTCGATATCATCAGAGCCCTGTGAGAATGTGGAAGAGGAAGGTGAGGAGCGTATCGCCAGCAGCCAGACACATGGCCCGCCAGATGAAGAGAAGCCAGATCAGAGTCAGGTGAGAGTGTTAAAGCGTTATTTGAGACTTGCAGAAAATAGGTCACATATACAGCACTGGAGGCTTCACGTACAGTGCATATGGGTCACAGTTTTCTTCCTCAACGTAAACTGCAATAGAGTACCATCACACAAAAACACACAACACTTGCATTTAACAAAAATAATGTAATGACATTTTAACCATGTAAGTTAAATATGAATAAAACTGTTTTAAATTAACTATACTCAGGGAGCTTTTATTATTTTTCATTAAATTTTAATGTGACTCATATGAGACATTTATTTTTACAAATAATTGTAACAATATTTGAATAAAGAATATATTTATATTGTACATGTCTTATTAAATATAATATACAATTTATACATAAATTGTAATTCATACTTTTACTTCATACTATTCACACACTTTGATAAAAACATATTTTAGATGTAAAACATACTTCCAAAATGTGCAGCATATTACAGTAAACTTACATGAATTATATTAAAACAAATCAAATTTTTCATTTTAACTGTATATCATTACTGTATATTGTGTATGTGCATATATAAAATGCATTGTATATTCATTTTTCATTATTATAAGCAATTTAGTGGATTTGTCAGGAATTTCTATACAGAAAATATGTATTTTTTAATAATATTCTTTTTTTCATTACACTTATGAATGTTTTTAGTGGATTTTTTTAGGATTTCAATATAGAAAAGATGTTTGTGTATATTTTGGCAACTATGTATGTGAATGTGGGGAGAAGATTCTAGATTTACATTAGTGGTTAAATCACTACAAACTTGTTTGTTTGCACTTGCTTAATGTTTAATGTTTTATCTGTTGCGTTGTGATGTGTTGTGCAAAAGCTCTGGTATTTTGTAAGAGGATGCGTTTTGGAAAGGAATATGTGGATAAGGTTCATCGGACAGCTGAGAGCCGTCCAACATTCCTCAGTCTTTCTGGTTCAAGTTTAATGTGGGGTTGCTGGGGACAGTGGGTCAGAGAAGAGCTTTAAATAGAACCTGAGCTCTGTGTTTCCTGCACGATCAACTGCATTCCTACCTTTTCACAGTTATTAAATGATCGTGGATGCTTCAATCAACAGGCAATTGTTTAAGTGCCATGTGTTCTTGCTGTCTAGTCTTTAGAGAGTGTAATCTGGGATATTATTGACTCAGTATATGGAGTTTCAATCACCAAGTCCATTCTGTACTCACAACACAGGATTTATTCTTCTGCTGTTCCTCTCTTTGACTCCTTGATTTTATTTCATTACACTTATGAATGTTTTTAGTGGATTTTTTTAGGATTTCAATATAGAAAAGATGTTTGTGTATATTTTGGCAACTATGTATGTGAATGTGGGGAGAAGATTCTAGATTTACATTAGTGGTTAAATCACTACAAACTTGTTTGTTTGCACTTGCTTAATGTTTAATGTTTTATCTGTTGCGTTGTGATGTGTTGTGCAAAAGCTCTGGTATTTTGTAAGAGGATGCGTTTTGGAAAGGAATATGTGGATAAGGTTCATCGGACAGCTGAGAGCCGTCCAACATTCCTCAGTCTTTCTGGTTCAAGTTTAATGTGGGGTTGCTGGGGACAGTGGGTCAGAGAAGAGCTTTAAATAGAACCTGAGCTCTGTGTTTCCTGCATGCACCATCAAGATCAACTGGATACCTACCTTTCCGCAGTCATTAAATGATTGTGGAGAACATTTTCCTGATGCTTCAATCAACAGGCAATTGTTTAAGCGCCATGTGTTCTTGCTGTCTAGTCTTTAGAGAGCGTAATCTTGGATATTATTGACTCAGTATATGGAGTTTCAGTCAAGCAAGTCCATTCTGTACTTACAACACTGGATTTATTATTTTGCTGTTCCTCTCTTTGACTCATTGATTTTATTGGTGCTCCTGATTTATGACTGTGCTGTCACTACATGATGTAGTTGCTAGGCCTTGTCATAAATGGTAATGATAGGACCTCTAGTGGTTAGTATCTCATATTGCATTCAAGGATATTTATAAGCAAAATAAGGCAGTTAGCAATACTTGAAGAATTTTCTACAACATAAGGACAACAACGGTGGTCAGATAAATTGGATGTTATCTGTCAAGCACAAGTGTTATTTTAGTGTTACTGATACACTATTATAGTTTTTGTTAATATAATGAATTATATATACAGTATATATAATATATATATATAAAATCATATATTAGTTAACATTTTAGTCATTTTGTTGTGTCTGTCATTTCTGTTAGTTTTTTAATTATGTCTGTATAGTTTTTATATTAAGTTTAGTTTTCAGTTTTAGTTATTTTAGTACTTGAACTTAAACTAAATGAAATTGAGAAATGTTTCCTTGGCAGCTAGCTGAATTAAAATACTTTTATTTATAATTTTTTTAAGATTTCATGATTATTTTATTTTTAAGTAGTGAAAAAATGTTTAATGGTTTCAGTTTTAGTTTCAGTTATCATAATGACTGTGTAACAGAGTACCATCATACAAAAGCACACAACACTAACACATTTAACAAAATAACTACTTAAATAAAATATAATCTGGGAGCTTTTACCGTTTTTCAATAAATGTAATGTGACACATGTGTGACATTTTATTTTTTACAAATAATTTTAACAATATTTTAATAAACAGTATTTATATTGTATATGTCTTGTTAAATATAATACACAAATTCCCCATAAAATAAATTATAATTCATACTTACTTCATACTATTCACACATTTTGATAAAACATTTTAGATGTAAAACATACTTCCAAAATCTGCAGTATATTACAGTGAAACTACATGTATTATGTTAAATCTAATTTAATTGTTCATTTTAACTGAAAACGTTTTTAATGGTTTCAGGTTTAGTTTCAATTATGATAATGACTCTGTCAGGTACACAAAAACCCACATCACTGTTGTACACAGAAAGTGGGCAGCACTATTTTCAAACAGTCAACATTCATCCATGCATTGAAGCATTAAAAGGAATAAATGATGAAAATTAAAAATAAAATACATTCCCTTGTCCAACTGACTAGCATTCACTGCTGGTTTCTTCAAAGACAGCCAAAACAGTCTTTTGATGGGTGAAAACTACTATAAATCTAGTCAGATGACGCTCAGAGATTCACATTTCCGCTGATTTCCAATGAGAAATTCCTGAGGGATCCCATGGTGAATTAGACTTCCTGGTTTGCCTACAAATTGACGTTATGAGTGAACATCTCTATAGACTATAATGAGTGGATAAGATCATTGACAGTCATTCAACACCCTCTTTCCCCGTGTTTCTCAGCAGCCTGTGGTGGAGTCAGCCACTACAGACAGATCTGAGTCAGAGGTGGAGGTGGAGGAGCAGGGCATCAGTGATGAGGGAGGACCAGAGGCAGAGCCGGAGGCCTCATCCACAGAGGAGAACCAGGCCACGGCCACGAGCAGCCAGCCTGAGAATGATGTGTCTGAGATCGAGATACCCAATGTAGGCAAGATTCTGGTGCGCTCTGATGCCGATGGCTACAATGAGGAGGTAAAGGTTCCATGAATTGTAAAACTAGGCTACTTCATACATTAAATTTAACATACAATTTTGACATTTTTTTAATCTGTAATTGAATAGATGATGCTAACACCAGCTATGCAGGGCGTCATTTTTGCAATTGCCAAGGCAAGACAGGTCTTTGACAAAGACGGACCTGAAGCAGGACTCATCAAGGTATACAACTTAAAAATACTCTGCGGCTGAACACACCAAATGGCGCTACTTCACAGTTCTCATATATTCAGATAATAATTCACATAAACTTAGATATTAAATTAGTTTACTTAGTACTTTATTTAGCAAGCTTACCCTGTTTATTTCTTTGGAAATCTTTTGGATCTCTTCATCAGGCGTTCCATGAGGAATATTCCAGATTGTATGAGCTGTCCCAGGAAGAGACCACACCCCAGCAGGACCCTCGACTCCAGCATGTTCTGATCTACTTTTTCCAAAACCAGGCACCTAACCGTGTCATTGAGAGGACATTACTGGAGCAGTTTGCAGATCGTAACCTGAGTTTTGATGATCGGTACCCATTTCCTTATATTTTGGGGGGGAATAGGCTAAGATTGAATAATTGGACTAATCTAAACTGGTACTTTTTCCTTGTAGGGCTATCAGTATCATGAGAGAGGCCAGATCTAAAATCCGTCTCATTAAACCAGAAGACATGGACATGGCTGAATACTTGGTAAAATCAAAAAGGCATTCCACTCTTTTTTTCTTCTTAAATGTATAATATATGCTGCTGTTTAACCGTTTGGAATCAGTAAGATTTTTATACGCTTTTAAGGAGATTAATACTTTTACTCAGCAGGGATGCATTAAATTGACCAAAGTGACAGTAAAGACATTTATAGTGTTACAAAAAATTTTTATTTCACATAAATGCTGTTCTAATGAATTAAGCTGAAAAAATGTATCATGCTTTCCTCAAATATACTAAGCAGCACAACTGAAGACTGGAGCAATGGCTGCTAAAAATTCAGCTTTGGCATCACATGAATAAATTACATTTTCAAATATATTAAAATATAAAACATTTATTTTAATCAATAATAATATTTTATAATATCACTGTTTTTACTGTATTTTTGATCAAATAAATGCAGCCTTGATGATGTGATATTTTTTTCAGGTTTCCTTGATAAGGAGAAAGTTCAAAAGAACAGCATTTATTTTGTAACATAAATGTTTTTATAAAGTTTTTATTTATTGAATACTTGCTGTATTAAAGTATTAATTTCTTTAAAAAAAAAAAAATCAGATCCCAATTAATTTGAACTCTGGTATATGTAGTTTTGTAAAGACATTCTTATATAGGCATATACATGTTTTATAGGGGTGTAACAGTACACAGATGGCACGGTTCAATACGTACCTCGGTTTGGGAGTCACGGTTCGATACGATTTCAGTACAACAGGAAAAAACAACAAATTTACTATGCTAGGTTTCTTTTCACTTATTTTGAACAGACAGTAGTACAATTTTTTTTAAATTCCACCTAGATGTGAAAATACTAAATATTATATTAAATTATAATGTTTTATATATATATATATATATATATATATATAATCTGCAGTACATATATACATACAAGGAATAAATTCTTGAAATATATTTGATTTAGTTAACAGATAAACGAGCAACAAGGAAAAACAGTGCGATGCGTAATGTAGCCTATATATGCTGAGTTTCAGTTCATTTTTGTGACAGGCTTAATTTGTTCACAGAAAGGAAACTCAAATGGCAGAAAGCGACATCCTAATTGTTTTCTTAATTTTACAAAAGCACAATGTTTTGTTTTCATTGTGAGTGTACACAAATAAAAGTAGACCTTTATACAGTGATGCATTATTAATAAAACAATAAATGACGGAGTGTTTTAAGTTGATTCTGCTGGTATAAGGAAACAGTTGAAGTTAATCGCGCTGGCACGCACCCACACAAGACATATCAGTTCCAGCATTGCTTACTTGACAGCGCAGTTGGTACTTTATCAAAATAAAATACAGTAAACCAAACATAACCAAATGCGTTGGAACGCGACTGAAGTACAAAGCCTATAATTTACATAATAAATAATAATTTAGCATTTGGATACATCGCAAATATGGAAATATTATGGAATATTTGGATTTGTGCCGAATGAGAGAGGTAGGATACATGAACACAAAGCTCCATTTCACAAACAGTATATTTAAAGTATTCTCCTTTGTCAGTCTGTGAGAGACACATGCAGAATCAGCACATGGTCACTGTCTAGTGGGCTTTGTTTTCAAGTGCGCAACTCATGGCATTCGCTGTTCTTCTGCTGGCGATTATCAAACAGCGTAGCATTACTGTGGGCGCCCCCTTCTGGATTGAGGGTGAATTGCCTGTATTCGTTGTAAGGCCTCATGCACCGAACCGAGATGTCTGTACCGTGACGGTTCGGTACGACTACATGTATCGGTACACCCCTAATGTCTTACATATCTGTCATAAATTTTTTTGGGCTCATGAGAAACCTTGACTGGTACAATATATTTTAATCCCATCTGATATGAAACGTCTGTGTACGTTACACCCTGCAGGAGCTGAATGAGAACGCAGCCACACTCTTTAAAAGTCAAGATGAAAATGACGTGGCAGAGGCGGTGACCATCATGAATGAGTGCATCATCCCTTGCATGCACCTCATGGTCAGAGACAGCATCAGCCAAGAGGACTTGGACGTCATAGAGCTGATCAGGAGTTGCTGGTGCTCCTACCTGGGGCAGGACATGGATGGTGGGCTCTTTCCCCCCAGATTTCATATATAGACCATTTCAATTAGATTCTTACATGCTCATGTTTTTGTTCATGTTTGTCTGTTTTTTGGATAATCAGATTCTGTTCAGGAAAAGCTCAGTGAATTCCTGCCCAGAGTCCTGGACTGTTCTGCAGAAATGGTGGTCCTGAAGGAGCCCCCCAAAGTGAGGAACTCTCCCCATGATCTGTGCAGCCGCCTGACTGCCGTCATGGAGTCCATTCACAGCACCTCAGTCGTCACTGTGAAGTGAGGCAAGGTTGAAAAAAAAAAACAAGGCACAGTCACAAGGTGATCTATCCTCTGCCTCAGGCTGAACTGGATTTTATTTGCGCTGCACAATGAAGTTTTCTGTCACACTACGGTACACATATTCACTGTGTTCTGAATTCCTTCAAAGGAGATTGATTGGCTGCTTTCGATCTTTGTAGGTGTTTGATCTCAGGAAAGATCAAATAGCTGACATTTTGTAAAGCCAGGTTTGTGAGAGGGCAGTGAAGGCAGAGTGAAAGATTTTACCCTGTTCTTCTTTTCACGTGAGCTGTAGACAGCGTCAAAATATAGTCTTTTATAGAGATTTGCTGGAGCCACTTTATTTCAGTCTACACTTAGCTGAAGATCTTCTGTGTATTCTTTCTTTGTACAGTAAGGTTGTCTGATTTTCCACTCCTTTGTTCTACCCCTCTTTTACCTTTCAATAAAAATTTGATTTCTCACTTTGTCGCCCTGTCCTGTGAATTCTCTTTTTTCTTTTGTATTTCCCCCCTATCTGTTCTCATTTTCTGTTTCTTCCAAGTTCTTCTCATCATAATTCTATAAGGATTTCCATTTATATGGTACATCTACTGCAGGTCCATTGATAATAACTAGTTATTATGTAGGAGACCACAGGCAGGACCATTTATTAGTAAATCTATATGAACTCTTATTTGTACTTGTTTCATCACGTTATGGCTTTTGTAGTCATAACAGTGCAAAGAATATATTTTCAGATGTGTATATTTAATATATCTTACAAAATATACAAATGTTGTAAAATATTGTTAATAAAGATTTTTTTATATTTTTACATTAACAAGTTTTAGTTGCGTATATTTCATCATATCCCTCATATATTTGCCATTACATATATATATATATATATATATATATATATAATATTATTTATATATTTTAGGCCAATTCCTTTGTCAGTATCCACAGAACACTGCCAAGTTACTTATGTTTCAAAAGAAGTATAACGCTCTGTCAAGCAATAGTTTTTGCTTTTATATAATAGTTTTACCTTCCTCTCTTAAACTTGTTTCAATAGGTTAGAAGCTTTCAGAATGGCCTGTTACTAAAAATAACCACATACAAAGAGCAGCTACAGTTTCATGCATTTATAAGAATTGTTTATCTACAGTGAGGTAGTAGTTGGTGTGCACCGATGGTGTGAGGACCCTATTGGAATTGTTTTGTTTCTTATTAGGGCCCGAGCACCGATGGTGTGAGGACCCTATTGAAATTACTCTGTTTCTTCTTCTTCTCCTCCAAAGTGAATCGCATTTTTGAGGGCCTAAACATGCTCCAAAACTCATGAAACTTTGCACACCTGTCAGAACTGGCAAAAATGTACATCTGATATGGGTTTCAGAAGTGGGTGTGGCTCAAAAAAATGTCTCAATAGCGGCACCTGTACACATTCAACGGAATATGCCTCGAGCTACGTTTTATGTACATGTACGAAAATCGGTACACACATGAAACATTGTAACACCATTACCTACAAAACATTTTGTCTCTTCCAAAATCCAAAACCCAACAGGAAGTCAGTTATTTTGAATTTCCTGTACAATTTTAGTGCAATGTTTGCCATTTCCAGGCCTCGTACTTTGACTAACTCCTCCTACAGTTTTAATTGGATCATCTTCAAATTTGGTGAAGGTTATCTTAAGACCTTTGTGACGTTAAATTGCGAAGATCTTGAGTTTTCGTCAAAGGGCGTGTCCCTGGCGGCCTGAAAATTTGTATGTTTCGCCATGAAACAGGAAGTTGTTGTAACTCAGGCAAGCAATGTCCGATCTATGCTGATGGTTTACCTTAGGTGGTTAACTGACTAATTTTCCATAACTGCATTCTCTGGTTTTCCTGATGGTTTCATCCATCAAGTCTCATTTGCCCTTTCCCCATGTATGAGTTATTGTATGTTTGTTTGTTTAGATTAGTTATGTGTGTTAGAGTTAGATATCCTTTCTTAGAGTTGAAATGAACTTACACTGAATGTTCGCTGGACGAACAGATTAGTTGATGGCAATTTAATCTTGCTACAGTTACTACTGGCAGCTGATAAAAATAATTGTAATTAATCATAATTGTAATTATTTATATACATTTCCCTTTTGAGCTAATTTGCTACACCATGAAACAGGAAGTTGTTGTAACTCATGCATACAAAGCCCAATCTGCCCCAAACTGCACACGTTTTATAAGAGTCCTGGCCTGAATTAATCTAAAGGCCAATATTCAGTCATAACTACTGTATAGTGTCACTGGCAACAGGAAATGACTTGTTTCACACTAACTTAAACATGCATGAAACAGGAAGTTGTTGTAACTCATGCATACAAAGCCCAATCTGCCCCAAACTGCACACGTTTTATAAGAGTCCTGGCCTGAATTAATCTAAAGGCCAATATTCAGTCATAACTACTGTATAGTGTCACTGGCAACAGGAAATGACTTGTTTCACACTAACTTAAACATGCAATGTCTGATCTGCCATAAACTTCACATGTTTCATAAGAGTCCTGGCATTAACACATCTTAAGGCCAATATTCAGTTATAATCATACCACCACCTGCTGGCAACAGGAAATTACTTGTTACACTAACTTAAAGTCACCATGAAATCAAAATTGAAAATTCTTATTTTTTAATGGAATACTGTAGTGTTTATTATAAATAATTTATCCGTGCACTTCATTATTTAAAAAAAATGCACGTGCCCTCATAATCTTTAATCAAAAACGTTAACCTCCCCTCCCCCTCAAAACGACTCATCTTCTCTTCCTGTCACGAGCTATAGCACAAGGGCGGAGCTAGTGACGTAGGGGTAAAGGCTGGGATAAACGACGGGGGGAAAGCTGAAGCTGATGCTTCACTTTGTAGCACTGACACCAGTCATGAGGGAGTACGTTACCCCTAAACATTGAAAAGATATTACGACAACATTACTCTTAGGACATCGCAAACTAATTTTTTTCATGAATATGACTTAACTTGATGGAGGACGCGCTCAGTCATTCAGGCAGTCTCTCTCTCTCTCTCTGGCCCGCACACTGTTTAGGCATGTTTTGTGCCACTGATCGTCGTCGTCATCCTTAATAAATAAAAAATGTATTCATGCTTGGGTGTCGGCTGTGAATCCAGTGGAGAGAAATACCCCACCACTAACTGCAAACTGGCATTCAGATCTGCCTCCATTTTGTTAGCAACGCCCCAACTTCCAACGATCCAATCAATTCCCGAAGGACGAAATCAAGTCCCACCCTCTCATTTCAGATGCCGTGTCACTCGGATGTACGTCACAGTAGAGAAGAAAAGACAATCGCAACTTCCGTTTCATGCCGACTTTAACTTCACATGTTTGGTAAGAATCCTGGCCTGAAAACATTTACATGCCAATATTCAGTTATAATTTATAGCGCCACCTGTTGGCAACAACACATTTCATGTTTTACACTAACTCAAACATACCATGTTCAATCTGCACCAAATTTCACAGATTTGATAAAAGTCCTGGTCTGAAGACATCTACATGTCAACATTCAGTTACAGGCATAGCGCCACCAGCTGGCAGTAGGAAATTTGGCACATATAAATGACTTTGACATATTCCTCCTATATTTATCACTTTAAATGCATATTGCCCACCGTTAGCTGTTTTCCTAAAGCCACCGGGTGGCGGTGAGCCCGGGTGCGAGGGCCCTTTCATTGCTGCTTGCAGCTTTAATGTGGTATTGTTTTTCGTTAATTACACTTATTTGGTTAATGCCCATGGCGTAGTGTTGATTTATGTCTTTTATGTTCAGATAAAATTAATGAGACATTTCCTATGCCACAGTGTCAAATTACTAATATATTCATCAACAGAAATGCTCCAATCTGCATTTGTTCTTTCCATCATTTTTTTGTAAAGTCGGACTGTGTTTTCCCATCTAAAACATACTGTGTTATTAAATAGCACAGGAGTGAAAAAAAGAGTTAATGAAGACAATTGTATATTTTTCATACATCTGCATTAATTCGTCAGAAAAAATTCTTCTAAAATGCATCACCACAGCACTTCATGCCTGCACCTCCCTGGATTAATTTAGAGAATCAGACATAATCTCCTGAGTTTAATTAGAATTCGAACACGGCCGTGATTGTGTTGATACAACAAAATGCTGCACTGCAGAGTGGATTGTGGTCTTCTAAAGCTACATGGGAAGCATATAAGAAAGATAAGACGCACTGGAGCCATGTGGTTCAGTTTCACAAACATGTCATTATACAGTCTTGTCAGGATTACACTCTCCTATTGCCCATACAGAAAATGAAGAGGCATTTTATATTACGCAACAAAAAATATAAAAGAAACCAATTAAATGTATTAATAATAATATGCTGTTTATGGTTGCCAAAGAGGTATAGTGCATTAATATAGAACTGTGGCCACAGTTGAGTGTATGACAGCTAATTTACTCCTCCAATAAGAATTCAGATTCAGAACTGTTATACAAATATTTTTTTAGTTTAATTTGTCTCGGTAATACATACAATTAATAATCTTACAATAGCTATATTCTGTCCTCAGGAAGAAGGCACCTACTGTCTGTTATGGTACACCTCCATCAGTAACAGAATAGCTTTAGACTAGAGAATAGGTGCTCAGTGAAGGTGGCAGAGAGTGAAACCTCAACGTCCAGTACTCACACAAGGTAATCGACTAGAGTCATTGTCACAATTCTCATTTACTTAAACTGCAGTATTACACATGCTAACAGTGTGTATTTTAAGATAAACATTATGCATTGGTTCGATTACTGATGTGCTAACGATTGAATGATTGCATGTGTGCTAGATCTCCAGGCCACAGAAGAGGGTGCTGATCTCCAGGCCACAGAAGAGGGTGCTGATCTTCAGTATACACTGTGTCATATGTGAGCATGATGAAAAGAAGCCTCAGGGTTGTTAGATCTCTGTTCTTCTGATGGTTCATCCAATTACATAAAGAAAGAATTACAGTTGACAGCACTTAGAAGTTTTGGTAATATTGTCGGAGTTCCAAACCTTTTATATACTGTATATATTTTTAACATTTGTCAGTTTTGTGATAAATTACTTTTTTTCAGACAGGACATGCTAAAACTTCATACACTGCAATATTGGAGGTTACCCCTCTGTATTTCACACACTATAGCGGTAATGTCACACAAAGTCATTGATGATGTCCAAAAAACATCTTGGTCTGATGTGAACAGCTTCACACATACAGCAGGGTCACCAAATCCAGCAGGGCAGTAGTAGAGGTAATCAAAATCTGTTACCCCCTCTCTATTTCACAAACAATAATGTCACCCAAATTTAATCTTTTGATGTCTAAACTTTATTTTTTAACTTTATTTATCCTAGAAAGCATTTAGGTCTGTCTGATGTTAATAGCTACACACATACAGCAGGGTCACCAAATCCAGCAAGGCGATATTAAAGTTTACTAAAATCTGTTACCCTTATTTCACACACAATGGCTGTAATGTTACCCAACTTCATATGGTAATGTATAAACTCCTGTGTTTCATACTCATGGAAAGCATTTTGGTCTGGATGTGAACAGCAGCACACATACAGCAGGGTTACTAAACTCGTCAAGGCGTTAGTAGAGGTTACTGAAATCTGTTACCCCCTTCTATTTCACACCTAAATTCTCTCTGGTGATGTCTAAACTGATGTCTAAACATCTATATATTATATCCCAGAAAACGATGGGTAACTTAATGTAAACCTGGGTTCTTTGATAACAGAGTGAGGTGTTTCACTATGGGAATCGCTTTGGGCGTGACCAACTGCGGAAGCTCCTATGACACCACGTCTGTCTTTGACAGACAGGTCGACCTGTGACCATGCTCCACCCCACCTATATCAGTCAGGTCGAACTCTGCCAAAGTCATTATAGAGAGATTTCTTCCCATACCCGTGCAAGGAGGGAAGTGCTGGTGAAACACCTCACTCTGTTTTCAAAGAACCCGGGTTTACGTCACTATGGGAGATATAGACCACTCCCGGATTGCACCCATATCACTGCTATCCAACAAAACAATTAAATGGGCACCGAACTGCTGGCTCCCAGCACTGCGTGTGCTAAGGAAGTCTCAGACACGTCCAGTCTATAAAACCACACAAAAGTATGTGGCGTAGCCCAACTTGCTGCTGAACAAATATCTTGAACAGAAACTCCCCTGAGTAAGGCCCATGATGTAGCCATCCCCCGAGTGGAGTGGGCTCTCAAGCCCTTAGGCGGTTGAATACCCTTGCAGATATAAGCTAAAGATATAGCATATATGATCCAATGAGACAGCCGTTGACGAGACAACGGCTTCCCTTTGTGAGGAGTAGCCCACGACACAAACAGCTGGTCATGAGTCCTAAATCCTGCTGTTCTCCTCACATACATATGAAGAGCCCGTACCGGAAACAATGAATTCAACTTTTGCTCCTCCGGAGAAGAGAATGGAGGAGGGTGAAAAGCTGCAAAATCAGTAGATGGGTACCTATATGCTGAGTCAACTACCTTAGACACAAAAGCCGGGTTAGGAGGAAAGGAAACCTTAGTGAGCCCTGGACCTAACTGCAAACATGACGGGCTAACAGACAAAGCCTGTAAGTCACTCACACGCCTAGCTGTTACTAAGGCTATGAGCAGCACCTTCTTAAAAGAGAGAAACATAAGCCCAACTCCCTCCAATGGCTCAAATGGGTGTTGAGAAAGGGCTTCTAGGATAATGGATAAATCCCATAAAGGAACCATCTATCTAAATACCGGCCGTTTACTGCACGCCACTTTCATAAAACGACTTATCAAAGGGTGCTGGCCTGCCGATTTCTTTCCAAAACCTACATGACAAGCTGAAATAGCTGCTAAATACACCTTAATGGTGGCGAAAGCCTTCCCCTTATCTAGAAGATCTTGAAGAAAGCATAAAATATCCCTCACTGAGCATTGAAAAGGGACAATATGACCCTGCTCACACCATTCTTCGAAGACTCGCCATTTATTGCTATAAATTGAGCGAGTAGAGGAGGCTCTTGCACTCTGTATAGTATGTATGACTGATCGAGGCAGACCTGCTGCATTCAAATTCCACCTCTCACGGGCCAAGCCCAGAGAGCTATCCTGTCTGGGTGAAGGTGGTAAATCCCCCCCCGCCTAAGACAAGAGATCCGAAGAGATATCTCGGCCACCCAATGTCTGGATGGCTAGCGTGGCGCTATCAGTATTAATGACAGACCCTGTTCCCTCACTCTGGCTAGAGTGGGGGAAATTAGGCTCAGAGGAGGGAATGCTTAAAGAAGGACGTCTGGCCATTGGTGTATTTTCGTCCGCTAGAGAGAAATACAGCTGTTTGATGAAGAGAAAGAGATAAAATGTAGTAGAAATAAACACGTTAAGAATCCGTAGAAGCGGAGAACTCTTATTATGTTTTATTTTAGGACTATTATTATGTTGAAATGTTTGGTTGACCAATCAGCGGAGAGGGGCGTTTCATTCCCACCCACATGTAGAGATCAAATATTCAAGTTGTTTATTCATTTTCTGTCCCTGAACGTTAAAACTACAAATGAAGCTGAATTCTTGATTTTTCATTTTGTTTGAACAAATTTTTCAGATTTTAATATTAAATAAAAAAACGAATTATATGAAGGCACACGGATCCAGCTGCTGCCCCATCGCCTCCAAGATCTCTGCTTGATACACTGACAGTAAAGTCACTGCATTCAGCGAGCACATGGACTGCCCCGCGTATTTATACATCCTCTGATATTTCGACACAGTCAGCCACTCCATTTTACTCGGCAGCTAAATCTGAAAGGAGGCAGAAATAGTGCGCCGATTCGGATGCAGGTGATAGACTGAAGACTGCCACTGAAGACTCTACCGCTGGAGGTCCGGCCAACCCCAGCTTCCCCATCCCTTGAATCTCCAACATGGAACACGCCTTGGTAGGGAGCTTGCTCTTAAAGGGGCTAGGCCAGTAGCGGGACATTTCCTTCATGCAAGCAGGCACGGCAGGCAGGAGTTGTCTCGCTGCAGGCTGAGCAGGAGGCAACCTTTTTCCATCATAAAGGTCCCTCTCAGCTCATTCGGCATCCTTGGCCGTGGGCCAAGCTAGGCCCAATTTCACCTCGGCTCATTTGCACACGTCGTGCAAGTTACTATCTACTTGCAAGCCCGAGTCGTTCATGCTCGGAGGCCTAGACTGTTGGACGGGGAAGAGGGAGTTGTCTTCCTCCTCTTCGTCATCCATGTCCAAATCGAGGAGATCAGAGCTAGTATCGCCCTCTGCGTCCTCTTCCCCCTGATCACTCTCCTCCTGCATGAGAAGGCCCTCAAACAGTGGAGGCATATCCGGGGATTCGGCTTCCATCATCTCCGCCCAGCTCGTACTGGCTCGCGTAATTTGGTCAGTCGCCGCAGACTGTGTGGCCACTCCAGACAGACAAGGGTCCTGCTTGTTAGCCACCGCCACTCTCAGCCTCCTTTCTAAGATTTTCACCGGCAATGACGCACAGTGAGTGCATGTTTGTGGATTCGCCAGCGACGTTTGAGCGTGCTTCAGACCCATACACACAATGCACATGGGGTGAGGGTCCCTGCCTGAGATGGTAGCTCCACATGAGGATGGACATGGGCGGGATGCAACCTCCCTGATCTTCGACTCATTCCCTTTGGCAGGGGTGATGGCCGTCGACATAATGGCTGAGAAGTGATGCAACCCTCAGACTCGTCACAACAGGTTAGCCTGCTGGTCTAATGTAATTAAACCTTCTGAAGGCTTGCCTTGACGTATTAAACCTCTAGTTGACTTAACGTCACCTACTGCAGTAATTTAATACACAGTAGGCCAATTAGAATAGCTCACCTTGATGCGGACACTATTCTAATTGTTAGGATATCACTTAACACAGGTCGACCTGTCTGTCAAAGACAGATGTGGTGTCATAGGATCTTCCGCAGTTGGTCACGCCCAAAGCGATTCCCATAGTGAAACACCGAGCGAAGTTAGAAAAAGAACATATCTGATGTGATCAACTGCACACATACAGCAGGGTCACCAAATCCAGCAAAGCAGTACTAAAGGTTACTGAAATATGTTACCCCCTTCTATCTCACTCGGAATGGCTTTAATGTGACCTAAATTTAATCTGGTGATATCTAAACTTTATTTTTATACCCCCAAAAGCATTTTGGTCACATACAGCATGGTCATCTTACACAGGCAGCATTAAAGGTTACCAAAATCTGTTACCCCTCTCTATTTTATACATATGGCTGTAATGTTACCCAAATTCACTCTAATGATGTCTATTCACATCTGTTTTGGTCTGTTCACATCAAAAAAAGCATTTTTGGTCTGATTTGAACAGCTGAACACATACAGCAGGGTCACCAAATCTGGCAAGCCAGATACCAAAATCAAATATCTCCCTCTGTTTCACACACTATATCGCTGTAGTAACGTTACCCAAATTCACTCTGATGATATCTAAATGTCAATTTTTTTAAAAATCTTTTTATTTATTTATTTTCTTACTCTTTTATATCCCAGAAAGCATTCTGCCGTTTTTGGTGGGTTTTTTCTGTCATTTTCATTTAGTGCAATTGTTTTTCTATTTAAGGTGTGTTTCTAACTGTTTACTAAGAATACACTTTCAGTCTGACTAGAAGTGAAATTGAAATTATTGTATATCCACTAAAACAGACAAAAAAATCCAAAACAGCTAATACATTTAATTGTTTTTCTGTCTATAACCTGTCCTAATAAAATGACCGAATTACCTCATTTTATAGTTTAAAAGCACCTCGCTGGGCAGCAAGCGAGCATTTCGAACCGCCCACTTTTTAAAATCAGCTTTGTTTTTTCCTCCAACAGAACAGACACTCCCAGCATCCCTTGCGCGCGGAATGGCGGGTCGTGGCATGAAGTGGTAAAGTATCCTGCGCGTTCAGTCGTTTACCCGTTACCGTCATGTCGTCGTTTGTGACAGAAGTGCTCGCCAGCTCAGGAAAACTGGAGAAAGATGACCTCGCCTGCAAAGTGTCCAAATTGTCACGGAAAGTGGAAGAAACGAAGGTAAACAGTGTAGTTGCGTTAGCTATCTAGCAGCTGTCAAACCCCAATAAGTTAGCTTAACGGTAAAACTTATTCATGTTAAATTCAATACTTAAAAATGCGATTATTTTGTTTGTGTGCACACTGACTCTTTGGTACTAATGTTAGCATAACGTTACATTGACCGACCGTTAACCAAAGTGCGGCTAACGCTCCTCTCGTGACATATGAAGCCATTTAAGAATAACAAGCGTGTAATAAGCGCCACTGGACAATGAATAATTCATGTTTTAATCGAGAATAGAGCGGTATTGATGTATCACTGCCTGTCAGTGCCAGTCTGAGCTCTTGACTTTAGACAGACAGCCTCATTTACGCAACATGATTGTGTTCTTTCTAGTCTTGAGACAGTGTTAACACCGATAATCATAATATCTGTCGTGGTTTTTATTTTTACCCATCAAGCTTGCCTTTTTGTGTTTTATTCTTGATTATGTTTAGGGATTTACGACATTTGTGTCTAACGAGATCATTATATCACACTCAGAGCTTTTTGTAATGTAATTAAATCTATCAAATGAAATGTCTTATTCTTCATATTTGTTATCAGAATTGGAGAGATCAGTTTGTTTATCCGTATTAGTGAAGAAATATAACGCTGATCTACATTTATATCAAAACCCTTTTTTTGTATTTAAGCTTGTATTTGTTTTTACTGTTTTTATGTTTCTGTGTCAGAGTTTTAACCTCCTATCTTTTTCTCCGTACAGGAAGAGGTTACAGACATGATAAATAAAAAATATATTGAGTTTATGCCCAGTATGGAGGGAGCAGAGGAGCTTTTGGAGCAGGTTGAATCAGTTTCCAAAGACATTGATTTATTAAAAAGCTGCATTGAGAATGAGGTACCTTTATTTTACAATTAATAAACAAGTATACGTTAGTTCCAAATAAAATAAAAAAGTGACTCTTATAGTAGTTTAGCATGTAAACTAAGTGTTTGCATTTACAGGTTCAGCAGAACCTCCATGATGCCGTAACAGAGTATGCTAAGCTTAAACAGCAGCTAGAGAAAAACACTGCAGTTATAGACCTACTCCAGCATCTCCAAGAGGTAATGCTACTGGGATTTTGTATAGGTTTAGAGGATTTTCTAACCATAAAGCTAGACTTATGATTTAAAGCATGTGCATTCTTGTAATGCAATTGATTGTGTAAGAACAGTTCACAGTAATTTGCCTGTTTACATAAGTTAGGGCACATGGTTTGTGTAACACAAACATTATCTCATTATTTGGATATGCTCTTCTAGTTTGACACGGCAATAGAGGAGTATCACAGGGCCTTGCAGGAAAAAAACTATGTGGTTGCAGCCAAGCAACATGGAAAGGTCAGTCACATTCAACATTAAATTCATTCATCATATTTAGGGCTGCCACTAATGACTATTTTTATTTAGATTAATCTATCGACTAATTTATCAATTAATCGTAAATCTAAACGATTAATTTCCCACCATAAAATCTACAATTTTATTTAAGAATATTTTATTAAACTATATTTCATTAAACCAAATGAAATCCAAAAGTAAAAAAGTAAAGTGCAACATAAAGTGCTAGAAGCAAGTGTCCATCTCATAGTCCAAATCACTGAAATCAGTATGAAAGTTCAGTATTATAGTGTAAGAATGACAACATATCCACGTGTTCTAGTGTCCTACTAATAAAATTATAATCAAAAACACTTTTTAAAGGAGTATTTACCAGAAATATTAACCAGAATTTATTTAGGAGAAAATGTAAATGTGCAGTATTTATGAAAAAAAAAATTTTTTTTTTTTTTTTATAAAATCATTTAATTAGAGATGATTTTGATTTATTAATTTAATGGAACCATTCAAATGGAATCCAGGAAAAAAAATTTTTTATTTGGAAATAAAATGGATTTCATAGTGCCCTATAATTGTAAAAAAAAAAAATTGTGGTAATAAAAATACATGTAAGTGAACAATAGGCATGGGACGATAACCGGGTTTAAGGTATACCGTGGTTTGGAAAAGTCACGGTTTCAAAACCAAAGTTTTCCGTTATACCGTTCCTGCGGTATGCACAGTCTTTTTTTTTTTTACGTGTCATCAAAGACGGAAAGTGCAGGACTCCCTCAGTTGTGTGCAGCAAAAAAATTTATTTGGAAAGAAAATGGATTTCATAGTGCCCTATAATTGTAAAAAAAAAAATTTGTGGTAATAAAAATACATGTAAGTGAACAATAGGCATGGGACGATAACCGGGTTTAAGGTATACCGCGGTTTGGAAAAGTCACGGTTTCAAAACCAAAGTTTTCCGTTATACCGTTCCTGCGGTATGCACAGTCTTTTTTTTTTTACGTGTCATCAAAGACGGAAAGTGCAGGACTCCCTCAGTTGTGTGCAGCGAAGAGCGTAACAAGTCACACGACCCCTCCCCCTCCGGTTGGTGCAAGGCTGCGAGCAGTCAGTGAGAGTCACCTGTGTGTAGGATGGCCGAAGGAGATGAATCCCTGGAACTTTTTCCCCCGTCGAAAAAGATGAAGTCTGCCGTATGGGAATTTTTCGGGTAACGTAGACTTAACCATGTTCCGTACACAATGATGTTCCGTACAGATGAGGTTTTAGCGCTGATCGCTAAATAAATACTTCCAGGTCGTACATAAACTACACATCTGTGTCATCTTCATTTCTCCCTCTTTCACCCCCGATCAAGACAGAGACCCACCCGCCGTTTGTTTCAGTGTTGAAATAAATACTATTTGGCTTGCTACCGAGGCAGATAACATGGCTAATTAACTAGCTAATGTCAACTAGTTTGCTCCCTCACGGTAACATTACTTCACAGAGCGAGGAATAGCAGACTAAAGTACTACATTTCTGTGATTTAGTACAATAATTAAATTTAGCTGGAATCACGTCTATAATTTTAAGCCTCCTGCCATTGTTCACATCTGTTCAAAATCACGACATTTAAAAATCAAACAAACTGCCGGCTCTCAGGTGTCTTTGCCACTGTTTGAGTGTTGTATGGAGAAAGACTGTGTGTATAACACACTCGCGCTCTCTCTTTCCCTATGTGTATGTGCACACATCCTCGTACCTCACCGCTCCAAACTTAATCCAGGAAAGGTGAACATTCCTGGATCATAACTTGGACTGAAAGAGGAATGTGTAGAAAGTGAGCATGTCTCCAAAAGCTGCAGGTTTAATGACTGCATTTTTTTTTTTTTTTTACAGAAAATGATTTATTTATGTTCTGATTATTGATGAGCTGCAGGTTTAGGCCCACTTAACTGAAAGTGACGTGACATGTGGCCAAGTATGGTTACCCATACTAGGAATTAGTGCTCTGCATTTAACCCATCCTAAATGCGCACACACACAGCAGTGCGCACACACACACACACCATGAACACACACCCGGAGCAGTGGATAGCCATTTATGCTGCGGCGCCCTGGGAGCAGTTGGGGGTTCAGTGCCTTGCTCAAGGGCACCTCAGTCATGGTATTGAAGGTGGAAGAGAGCGCTGCACATTCATTCCCACCACCTACAATTCCTGCCGGACCAGAAACTCGAACCTTTGGGTTACGAGTCCGACTCTCTAACCATTAGGCCACGACTTCCCCTTAAGTGACTGCACTTAATTTAATTACGAAGAATTCAATTATTTTAATTATTTAGCCTGTCATGTTTATAGAGTGTTCCAAAATGTTCTCTATTTCTTAAAAATGAAATGTGTTAATTTATTTATTTATTTATTTTACTCAGACATGTAAAAATAACATTTTAGAGCTGTAATCGCAATACCGTGAAACTGTGATATTTTTTTTATCTAAGGTTATCATACCGTCAGAATCTCATACTGGCCCATGGCTAGTGAACTATAGCCTTTAAAATGACTTAAAATACATATAATAGCAATGAGGCAATAATAATTAGTTCAAATAAAGGATCAAAAGCAAGAAATCATATGGTTTTATTGAACAAAACTGTTAAAATACATAATGTATTATAAACGTCCACTTAATCTTTAATATTGGCCATTTCTTTAGGACAGAAATGCTATAGCCACTGTAATTAAATGAATATGTGGACATCAAAACGTGTAAACTCAGAGTGAGGGTTTGAGCTTTTATTTTGAAACCGTGATGTATTCTCCTGAGTTTGCGTAGATTTATAAATGATTTACCTTACAAATCTGATGAAATGGCGACCGTTGTGTTCCCAGACGAACGTTATATTAAACCCAAACTCGCAACAAAATGCAGAGATGGAGTTTGAGTCGCTCTACACATGTAAATGATAACAGTTCCTGTGGAACTACTGTGAACAAGGCCGGTGTGTGACGCACGTACTTAACCTACACTCATGTAAATAATTAAAGCGCATATACTGTATTAGAAATCTGATGAAATGGCGCATGTTGCGTTCCCAGATGAACGTTATAATAAACCCAAACTCGCAACAAAATGCAGAGATGGAGTTTGAGTCGCTCTACACATGTAAATAATAATGATAACAGTTCCTGTGGAACTACTGTGAACAGAGCCGGTGTGTGACGCACGTACTTAACCTACACTCATGTAAATAATTAAAGATCATATACTGTATTAGAACTGCATCGCATATAATTATTTAATTAAATCGTAGCGTTTGTGAATTCACAATTATGCTTAATTGAGTTTTAAGTGGGTTTAATATATCTTGCAGCCTTGGAAAACAGACTAATAATGTGTTTTATACATTCTCGTCTGTGAAATGTGCCACTTCCGGTATTTTGCCAGTTAGTCGACGAGAGCAAAATGAAGTCGAGGATTTAAAAAAAATCGAATAGTCTAATAAAATCGATGAATCGCGACAGCCCAAATCATATTACCACCCTATGAGTTTAACAGGTTTATTAATTAATTGTATATTTAATTTTTAATTATAAAAAAATGAGGGCTTTTCCTCATCCAGTTAGACATCTCCCCAAATGTTATTAATTTATTGGCATATGTAATTAATTTGAATAGTATTTTGGTCGATTAACAGCCCTATGAATTACTATACAATGTCTTAATCACATATTCCTACTTGCATTATACAGGCACGAGCTAGTGTCGATGCCCTGAAAGCCTGGAAAGACACAGAGTTGCCTTTAGTTCATGCCCTCAGCTCAGAGATCACAATACAGAGAGAGAATCTCATCTACCACCTTGGGGAAGAGTGGCAGAAACTGGCAGTCTGGAAACTTCCTTCCACTAAAAGTAACTATGTTTTACTTTAAAACTGGCATGAAATGAAAATTCACCTTCTCTGTAACGCATGTTGTTGATCTTATTGTGACCAATTCAAACATGAATGTCTCTTTTTGTTAATTTTTTTTATTTATTTATTTTTTTAAACTTTTGTTTCAAATGTCATATCTCAGTCTTCCAGTGAAAGGACAGACTTGTCTCTGGTGGTAAATGCCAGATCTCTCCAATCATTTAGTTTGCTTAAACCCGTCCCTCTCTTGTAATCGACCGCAAACTCACAATCAGATCTGCCTCCATTCGTTTAACAATCAATGGATTGAACCAATGGAAGTCCCCAGCGTACAATTTATTTATTTTTCTTCAATAATCAGTTTCTATTTTCTATTCTATTTTCTAATTTCTATTTTTTTTTCTCAGCCGAGCTCACTAGTGTGAAGTCTTTCCTGAAGACAGCACTTCATTTGAACAGAGGAGGTTCTAAGGGAGATGAATCTGTCCCACATGTCCTTCTCCCCAGCATTCTCCAAGCCCTCTCCATTCAAGGAGAGCTTCATAAAAAGATTAAACTCTTTGGTAGAATATGTTTTGGTGTTACAGCCTATTTGTACCTCTAGATCGATTTGTTCACATGTTGGTCTGTAAGTTGACTGCCTGACTCTTTGTCAATCCTTTAGGGCAAGTGTTGTTTAAGTACATGCTGAAGCCTCTGATCATATACCCCTCATTGGTGGTTGAAGTGAGCAGTCAGCCGGAGCAGGGGGCTGTCTTGAGCCTGCAGTGTACAGAAACCAAAGCAGAGCATCCTGATCCCAGCCAGGTTTATACCAAAGTGCTCACCGTGCTTAAAACACTACATGAACACCTTTTTGGTAAGTTTTTTTGGTGACCAAAAAAGTTGATCCTGTTTACCATAGACATTGTAGTGATGACTAATAATTACAATGCGTATACTATGCTAGCGGTCTTATTGTGTGATCTCTAAATATAAAAAAAAAATGAAAATGCAATATTAATTATTAATAAGTTAGCTTTAAAGTTTCAGAAGCCCCCACAAAATATGTACATAACATTTAATTATTACTATTATATAACTTTATAACGTATTTATATTTTTAATTAATACAATTATATAACTTTCAAAATGAAAATTCTGTCATCAATTACTCAAGCTCGTGTCTTTCCAAACTAATTTGAACTAAGGCCTTATTAAAGGGATAGTTCACCAAAAAATTAAAATTCTGTCATTAATCACTCACCTTCATGTCGTTCCAAACCCATAAGACTTTCGTTCATCTTTGGAAGACAAATTAAGATATTTTTGATGCATCCCGTGAGCTCTCTGACCCGCCATAGACAGCAAGGATATTACCACGATCAAGGCACAGAAACGTATCAAGGACATCGGTGAAATTGTCCACGTGACATCAGGGGTTCAACCATATTTTTTCGAAGCTGATTACATTCTGGGGTACTCTCCAAAATGGCGGAAGACAGTAACTCGGGGGGGAGAAGAATTGCTTAATAAATTGTTATTATTGTTTTCTTTGCGCACAAAGTATTCTCGTGGCTTCGTAAAATTACAGTTGAACCCCTGATGTCATGTGGACTATTTCACCGATGTCCTTGCTACGTTTCTGTGCCTTGATCGTGGTAATATCCTTGCTGTCTATGGAGGGTCAGAGAGCTGTCAGATTTCATCAAAATTATCTTAATTTGTGTTCCCGAAGATGAACAAAGGTCTTACGTGTTTGGAACAACATGAGGGTGAGTAATTAATTAATGACAGAATTTTCATTTTTGGGTGAGCTAACCCTTTAAACTAATCCATGATTCGAGCAGTTTAATCCAAGCCTTGTGAAGAGATTTGGTTGCTTTATATAATAAATAGATTTCATTTAGGATTTTGGTCTTTGGTCTTAAAGGTTGAAGTAGGCTGATGATGGTGTGTGTGTGTTTTTTTTTTCTTTTTCTTCAGATGTGTCTATAGATGAAAAGAAAGTGTCTGAGATTTTAGGAGACCTGATATGGGAGGAGATGTCTGAATGCATCATTCGTGAATGCCTGGTTCATTCCATACCGGCTAACAGTAGTCAGCTAGCTGAGTATAGCGAGGTAAGACTGCAAGGATCTGTCAGCATATGACAACTGTGCAGCATTCTTTGTAATACAATATTCAATTGTATCCTCAGGTCATTAAACAGACTGAAGATTTCGAGAGCAGTCTGAAAGAAATGGGCTACCTCGCAGGGGACTCAACGGACCTCTTAAAATACGCCAGGAACATCAACTGCCACTTTGCAAGCAAAAAATGCCAAGATGTCATTGTGGCTGCACGGAAACTGATGACATCTGAGATGCACAACACAGTGAAAGTAAGACCCCTTCAAATTCTCTAATGTTAATTAAGCTATAAAAGATTTTTGTTACAGGCTTCTATATGCTCTTCTCATCCAGATCACTCCAGAGTATAAACTCTCTATCCCTAAACTACCAAGTCCCAGTGGAGGAGAGAAGGAGAGGAAGGAGTCTAGTAAGAAAAGGGCCCATTACGATCAGCAGAGCCTGGAAAACGAGAAGCAGCTGAGTCCCAACACTCTGTGTTTACCTGTGTGTCGCATTAGTGAGTCAGTGCAGCAGCTCATGGAGCTTGCCATTCAAACTCTGTCTGAGGTGGTGGGCAGCTCACCCCAGTGGTATGTAGCAGGCATTACAGACACTACAATTAAAGGGATAGTTCACCCAAAAATGAAAATTTGATGTTTATCTGCTTACCCCCAGGGCATCCAAGATGTAGGTGACTGTGTTTCTTCAGGAGAACACAAACGCAGATTTTGAACTCAAACCGTTGCAGTCTATCAGTCTTATAATGTAAGTGGATGGGAATCATGGCTTTGGGAGTCAAAAAAACATACAAAACCAAATTAAACCCTGCGGCTCGTGACGATACATTGATGTGTAAAGACACAGAACGATCGGTCTGTGCAAGAAACTGAACAGTATTTATATAGTTTTTTTACCTCTGATTTTCACCGCAATGTCCGAACTATCTGTCCTGAGCGCGTTCTCAACAGCCAGTGCCTTAGGCGTCTTCTTGCTTTACGGCGGATCGCAGACTTATAAGTGCATTATCGCCACCTAGCTCTCAAATGGACCATTGACACTCCTAATTGCGATTGTAGATTCAGTTTCTTGCACAGACCTATCGTTTTGTCTTTACACATCAATGTATCGTCACGAGCCGCAGGGTTTAATTTGGTTTTGTTTGTGTTTGTTTATTTTTTTATTTTTTTTACACTCCCAAAGCCGTGATTCCCATCCACTTACATTATAAGACTGAAAGACTGCAATGGTTTGAGTTCAAAATCTGCGTTTGTGTTCTCCTGAAGAAACAAAGTCACCCACATCTTGGATGCCCTGGGGGTAAGCAGATAAACATCAAATTTTCATTTTTGGGTGAACTATCCCTTTAAGCAGATACTAGGGATGCACCGAAATGAAAATTCTGGGCCGAAACCGAAAATTCTGGATGCACTTGGCCGAAAACCGAAAACGAAGATCCAAAGTAATTTTGTAAGACTTTTTAATTTAACTAAATTTTAATGAGACTGAATTTAAAAAAACACAACATACTTTTTACTGAAAGGAACAATAAAATTGGACAGAATTTATATTAATATTAGTAACACATTACAATAAGGTAATGTCTTTAATCTTTTTCTTTAAATCTTAGTTAATGTTAATTTCAACATTTACTATTAAAATCAACAGTTGTGCTTGTTTAACAGTTAATGCACTCTGAATTAACATGAACTAACAGTGAACAACTATTCTCATGAACTAACATTAGGAAAGATGAATAAATGTATTGTTCATGTTAGTTAATAGGCTACGTTAACTAACACTAACTAATGGTACCTTATTGTAAAGTTTTACCTTAATATTAAATATCACTATGTTATTTTTATTCAGTTCCATGCAACATAATCAGATAAAACTTTTTTTTTAACTAATTATCCAAATAATGTATAATCCTACAAAGCTATTATTATCAGTGAGCAGAGCGTCACGAGAGAGTAGTCATTTTACCAGCGTTGCCATATTACAGCACAGTAGCGCTATTGCAGACAGAAACAAATATACTACAAAGAAATATCCTGTATTTGACCGGACTTTGCTTTTCCGTTGAGTATGAGTGGTACACGTGTGAAACGCACATTCATAGAGTGGAATATTGAGCAGAGCAGTGACGAGGAGAGTGAAACCTGCGCTCTGAACACTGCGGTGCACTGTATATATATATATATATATATATATATATATATTAGGGGTGTAACGGTACACAAATGACAGTTCGGTAAATAGGAAGGGGGCAAAAACCTTTTCACGACACTGTATATATATATTTTTTTTTTCGGCTCATTATTTTGGCCATTTTTCTCTTTAATAATAACGTCTGTTAATCTCTAATAATAATTCGGCCGTTAATACATCTGTTCAATAAAATACTCACCCATATAACTTCGTAACCTGATTCATGATTCACAAAGGATACGTGAAGAATTTCAAGTGTTAAGTACTTCGTATTTATCATAGTTAAAAGTTGCGATTAAATGTTCTCTCATTTATGAGAAAATTTAAAAGGAAGGTTTTGTTTATCACCCAAAGAATATCTGGCAACCCTGGAGCGTCACAGAGGAGGAGGACGCGAAGGAGACTGTCGTAAAGTGGGATGTTTTGGAGTGGGGAGGTCATTGGAAAGTGAGGTTGTTCGGTACGTTTTGGGGGGAACAGACCGCCACCTCTAGCACAGGTGTCAGATATTCTGATACCAGAGTGGCCTTGCTCACATCCAGCGTAGTTTTACAGGGGTCATTACGGTCAAAATGTTGCGTTTAGCGCTGCGAGTGCGTCCATCATCCAGGCTCACCCGGCCCAGTGTCCTGTCGGGCCCTGCTGCTGCTAGTCCACGATCCGGACCGCTATCATGCCATCATCTCAAGCGATACCACTCCAGCGGCCCGGCCCGGACCCGGATCTTGTGTCACGGTCGGTGTGTGTTCAACAGCATCCTCAGTAACAGATCATGGGTCTTGCGAAGCCAGACGGCTAGTTTCAGTCAAAGCATGCGAATGTACAGTCTGCCACCACATCAGAAGGTAAGCTAAGGGCTAACTAATATTATTATGTGCTTCCACCCCCGTTTGTCTTGCTTTTTTTCTCCAGTGGAACACAAAAGGAGATGCTGGAGACTGACAGCCTCAGTCGCTGTTGACTTTCATCGCATCTTTTTCTACATAATGACTGCCTCAGTCATCGTTCACTTTCATTGTGCCATCTGTCATCTCTTTTTGTGCTCTGCTGAATAAATTAAGGCACACAGATTTGGAAAACATGAGGGAGAATAAATTTTTTTCAAAATTTGGGGGTGAACTGAGTCCTGGTATAGCGCATCAGTGCGTTTCTTCTGTTGGTGTCACCTTCAAGATGTTAAAGCAGGGCTGTAGTTATTTATATATATATATATGCATGTCATGAATTATGTGAGCTGTCAGAGGTCCATGTTGATATGCCTGTATATCTCACGAGACAGCAGAACAGTCTCATATGATTTAATAATAATCTAAATATTGAGTCTTAGTAGCAGTCATAGATTTCCATGCTTAGAAAATAATTAAATTATAAGGAAAGTGCTCAATTCCATAATGATTATACATTTATTATACTCCGCTCTAAACCATTTTATCATATTTGGAAATATCTTTTTCAGGATTCTTTCATGAGTGGAAAATTCAAAAGGACAGCATTTAAATAAAAAAATATTTTGTAACATTATAAACATCTTTTCTGTCACTTTTAAGCATGTTAATGCATCCCTGCTAAATAGAAGTATTAATAAAAAAAACATACTGACCCCAAACTTTTCAATGGTAGTGTATATTTATATATAAATAAATACATTGAATATTCATACACAGTCAAATGTATATGCATAAACCAGATTTAAAGAAATTTAGTGTGTCTACATTAACAACATCATGTAAAGTAATTTCTTCCTGTGATTTTCAGGTTTTGAGGTACAGGAGGAGGGTTACCTGGCTAAGATATTGATTGCTGAGGGCACCAGGGACGTTCCTCTTGGCACTCCTCTCTGTATCATTGTGGAAAAGGAATCCGACATTAGCACGTTCGCTGATTATGTAGAGACAGGGGTGGCTACAAGCCCACCTCCCGCTCCCACACCGGTAAAGAGCTCTGACATTTCTACAAGACCTAGGCCTGTCACGATAACAACTTTTTGTTGTGCGATATATTGCCCCAGAAATAATTGCGATAAGCGATATTATTGTCATTTTAAAGACCATTTTATGCCACTGAATATATATTCAAAATGTAACACCATAATAATGCAAGAAGGCCTACACACTTCCAAATGACAACAGACTTTTAATTTTTAAGAATATTTAGATCATGGAAATTAAGTATCAAAATATTAGATACCTTAAAAAACTTGAATAAATAGTAAATAAACATTTTCTAACAAAAAGTGCAAAGTAACAAGTACAAAAAAAAAGAAAAATGCTCAAAGAACTTGTATGTAGATTTTTCCCGGACCTTCTTTTCTCTGTAAATTAAGGGTGCACACTATTGCTGGAAAACACAATCACTACTCAGCAGTCAGATGTTCGTATGCACAAAGACACAGATCCCTAAACAAGATCATATCTGCAGATGAAACTTTTTTTTGTAGAAGTATTTTTTAAATGTGAACGAGCACCTCATGTCTGCACCACGTTATGTACAAGAAGCTGAAAAAGACACGGATGCAAGTTGAATGTACAAAACATGGTGACATAAATTTTTAAGTAAATATAATGGGCGATATATTGCGTCACCAAAAATGATTGAGGTCATGTACATATATTGCGCGATAAGTCGATATATTGATTATTGCGACAGGCCTAACAAGACCTCTATTTTTTATGTAATTATTACTAAGGTTAATTATGCACACTTAATGCTATTATTGTTAAAAAATTGGGAATTTTTTAACGTCAGTAAACATTAACAGCCATCATTTATTGTTCACTTTGAGGTGCAACAGCACTTTGAATGACACGAGCAACATGTCATAATGTGACGTAATATACTTTTTATTCGGCCACCTAAAGGGTGTGATGAAAATCAAGGTCGTGTTTTTTACTGCCAATGTAATATCAACAGTTTCATGCTATGTCTAAAAGTGAAAGGTCATTTTGAAATATTTGCAGTGTTTTGAAATTCTGCGATCATGCCATGCCAGTTTTGTGGGAGTGGCTGTACAACAAATTTTTTTGTATGGCTAGATATTAAGATATTTGATTTTATTTAAAAATTATTATATAGCTATGTACTAATTGATTGGTTATAGTTAGCATGTGCACGTACTGCTAATCTACAGTTACAACAAACCACAACAAATATAACGTGTTCTAATCTGTTTTTATAACCCAGAATTTTGATATTTAACCGAACAAAAAATAAATAATTTTAGTAGGTGGTTTACATATATGACTTTAAACTGTACCTCACTGCTCAGGTGGCCACCCCACCGCCAGCACTGGCTCCAGCAGCTCCCACCCCAGCACCTGCCGCTGCTCCTAGGAAGGGTAGGGTGTTTGCCAGTCCTCTAGCCAAGAAACTGGCTGCCGAGAAGGGAATTGACATCGCCCAAGTCACAGGTAGGAGCAGATTGTGTTTAATTCTGTCAGTTACTTTCCTTTGTATGGGAGATGTCTTTCTGGCATTAGTGTTATTTTATCATTTATGGGTGATTTATATGTGACACTGACTGAAATGGGAATATACTACTGTCGTGTCCATAGGAACTGGACCAGACGGCAGACTCACCAGGAAAGATATCGACAGTTTCGTTCCACCTAAGCCCACTCCTGTAAGTCAAATTTTGATGCAACCAGATCCAACAAACGTTGTTTTTACTAGGGCTGTCAGTTTAACATGTTAATTAATTAGTTATGAAAAATAACACAATTAAAATGTTAATACAGTTTACGCACTGGCTCCACCCCTAGACCTGTACTCATCTTACATTTCATACAGTTGACTCTGATGCAGGGTCAACAACTCCATAAATGCAGTTATGCTCTGAAATTCAAGATATTGGGGCAAAAAATGCCCCTGTATGAGTCTGTGTCTCGTATTTATATTACATTATAAGCGATATCACACCACCAGTGAGAGCAATATCACACGAGTGTTGCAAATGTGATATTATACAACAGTTCAGTGAATAAGAAGTTAATATTGTGTAATATTTTAAACAGTGTGTTTTTGCTCAATTTTGGCAACGAAAATATTACCTATTAAGCCACCGCAGAACTGATGTGCGTCTGTGAGCAACACAGCAAAGTTTCTGAATGAATCCTAGTTTTGAACGAATCGATCGAACCAATGATTCAAAGACCCATTCATAGAGAGAGCCGTTTACTTTCCTGAATGAATCAGCCGTTTCAACGACATGAACTGCTGGCAGTTTTAGTTTCTTTTTTTAGAGTATCATTTCATTTATTAAAGGTGCTGTATGTAAGTTTTTGACTCTACTAAAGCATAAAAGTACCATAATATGTTTGCAGATATTTAAGAAACATGCTAAGTTAACATACTTGTTTATCTGAAAAGCAATGCTACAGTCAGTTATTCTCCTTTGAAAATGTGCGTTCCGGGCCAGAATGTCGGTCTCTGTTTTGGTTTGTGAAACCCGCCCACTGCCAGTTTTCCCAATTGTATTTCGTCACCCCGGGTTGCCAGTTGGCGGAAAACAGAGCGTATTTCATTTCATTCATCGTCAAGTGCGCTCGTTCCTGTTGGTGTCGTCAATCTGGCAACCTGTGTGTGCATCAAGTCTGAGGAGAAGGGGCCTTGTGAAAAAAACCCTCTCTGATATTTAGAATTTGGACTGCGATACCTAGTTCAACCACTCGGTGTCAATCCTACATACAACACCTTTAAATAAATAAATGGGATAGTTCACCAAACAAAATCTGTCATCATTTACTCACCTTCATGTCATTTCAAACCTGAATGACTTATTTTATTTTGTGCAACATAAAAGAATGTATTTTGAAGACTGTTGGTAACAAACCAGTTTTGTTTGACTTTCATTGCATGACCAAAAAATACTGAGATGTTTCTCAAATTATCTTCTTTTATGTTCCATAATTTATGGAAAATACATTTTGTTGAATCAAATACAATATTTTTTTCTAAAGCTACTATTTGTAATGTCTACTTGATACGATCTCATTTTACACAATAATAGCTTTAAATAATCTTTTGTGGGTATTTTCACAGCCAAATTTAGTTTCCGATTAATTAGATTAATTAATCACCGCACCATATAATTAGTTGGAATAAACATTTTAATTGACTGACAGCCCTAGTAATGCTCATCCAATAATGAAATAGAGGTGTAAGGCCTTTGAGAAAGTCTATGTACCATAATGCTGCAATCTAATACTATTAAAAAATGGTTAATTCAAATAAAGCTAATTTAAAAAAAGAAAGAAAAAAAAGAAGCTAATTTAAGGCTAATTCAAAATATTTATAAAAATGAAATAGTATATAAATAATACTAAAATAGCACTGCATCTTACCCCAGGAATGTTCTTTTATGAAATATAATGTACATTTTTTAAATTTAATTATTTATTTTATAAAATATTTGTAATAAAATTATTAGAATTCCCTCCAAATCAGTTTAGAAAATGCAAGTCTGTAGATTCCTGTAATACAGTAAAGTTATCAAAAAATACATAAACAGTGTATTGCATTTTTTATAGTAGTAAAAATGAAGTGTAAAAGTAATTATTTTTCATTCTTCTTTTCTTTTTCATCTTTTATGCTCATTCTTTTACAAAAGTTTCTGTTTGATACCGCCAGACACCAGCTGCTGCTCCTACCCCTGCTGCACCCACACCCAGCCCTCCAGCCGCCCCTGCTTTTGCTGCTGTACCTACAGGAACCTTCACTGACATCCCCATCAGCAACATCCGCAAAGTGAGTCCACTGACCACAGAAACCACTTTATATTCTCTATTCATACGTGAAGACTTTTGTTACCCATAATGCTCTGTTTCCTGCCTGCCATGCTATCTAGGTGATTGCCCAGAGGTTGATGCAGTCGAAGCAGACTATTCCTCACTATTATTTGTCTATCGATGTCAACATGGACCAGGTTCTTGAACTCAGGAAAGAACTCAATGCTGTGAGTGAACTCAGTTCACATGACCGTGACGTGATAGTGAACTCCACATTATAGTATTCCTAATTTAGACTGTACCTTTTCCTCATGATCAGGAGGTGAAAACGGATAACATCAAACTCTCGGTCAATGACTTCATCATCAAGGCCTCAGCTCTGGCCTGTTTAAAAGTGCCAGAGGCCAACTCCTCCTGGATGGACACAGTCATCAGACAGTGAGTGGATTCCCACAATGCAAATCGGGTCTTAAAGAGCAGGTCATATGGTATTTTAAGGTGTCCTAATATTGTGTTGGAGTCCCCTACAACAGGTTTAAATGCATCTACGGTCAGAAAACATTGTAATTTTCTCAGAATATACATTTAATATTAGAGTCATTTGCCAATGATTTCTAAACGGTTCGTTCCAAGCAAGTTCTGAGCAAACCCCTCCCTTCCATGAGCCTACTCTGCTCTGATTGGTCAGCTGGCCAAGCCTGTTGTGATTGGCACAGAGAGGAGTCCTTGAGCAAGTTAGCGAGCGCTACCATTGACAAAGCACCTTTACATAAAACCATAATATAGTGCTCCAATCCGTTGTTATAATAGTGACATAAAATACAAAAACATTTATGCAAGCGAATCGTGCTCACAGCTAAATTAGAGCTGTTAAAATTAAAACCAAAACTAAACATAAAACAATAATGATGGATATGTTAGCCGAGTGCTAACGTTCCTGATGAAACAATACCGTTTGTAAACCAAAATACGTCTACTGTAATGTTTGAAGAACGACAGACAAAAGACGCTCTGTCTTAACTTTTAATCAGAACAGCTGTATCACAGGCGCAGCAGCCTAACTAACTCACTTGTCTCTCCCGCATTAACCCTATAGCTGCCTGCAAAATAAACAGCAATTTCACAATGATTATAAAGTCTGTGCGCTACACTACATTCTTTATTATTAAACAAAGTAATTATTAGAACGTCAGTCTACATTATTTGACACATTCTTAGGAAATAGTGGGTTCACAGCGAATTACCAGAACTATTTCAGTAAGACAGTAATATCCTGCTTTTCCTGGAAACCTAAAGCTGCACTAGGTATACATCACATTTTAGCACAAAACATGATATTTTGAGCACTCAATTGAAAATACCGTGTACCGGTAACAGGCAAAAGATTCGAAAATATGACGACTCGTTAAGGCGATTCAGAATCGACTCTCTCTTTTGAGAGACAATATCTTTATTTATCATGCAATTTTTTGATTAACAACTTTGCAGATTGTTTTCATTTAAGGATAGCTACGTTATAAACTGCAAAAGAGATATTTTTCAAAAACCCGTATGACTTGCTCTTTAACCATTTGAGGGCAATTATCAGTAAAGTTAAAGTAACTCATGTGACATTGAAATTACAGTCAAATCAAATTTTTTTTTCTCTCCACACAGAAATCACGTGGTGGATGTTAGTGTCGCAGTCAGTACGCCTGTGGGTCTAATCACTCCCATTGTATTTAATGCTCATATTAAGGGTCTTGCGACTATCAGCAAAGACGTAGCCACATTAGCTGTTAAAGCACGAGAGGGAAAACTACAACCGCACGAATTCCAGGTGAGTATATTAGGTGCTCAATTAAGATGTAATTTTTTTTAAGAAATAATTATTTTATGATGTGTTGTTTTGTAACAACCTGTGTCTTTCTTAACATTTTAATTTTTTAATAATATAAAAAAAAAAAAAATGTTTTACTAAAAAGTTAACAAAATTAATAAATATATATTATGTATACTTATGTAATTACTTTGTGTGTGTGTATATGTATGTATATATATATATATGTATATATATATATATGTATATGTGTCTCACGAGATCTGACTGGTCTCGTGAGAACGTGATGATATCCTCGCAAGACCTTTCAGATATATTTGCATTACACTGGCTCGTTCACCAGTCGTGGTATGTAAGATATTTTATGTTCACAACAGGCAAGTGGCCACATGAATAGCGGGAAAATTACGCAGTGTAGTCTTTATCCAGTCAAAAAAAAATAGAATTCACAGTTTAACGTGGAATATCATGGAATTTGTCAAATTTTGAATGAATGAATCAAAAGTAGGTCATTACACTTAAATCAAATCACGATATGGACTAGTATCTGTAAATATTAAGCCAGTATCTGTAAATGTTAAGCCGCAAAAGTCGATTTCAATATGAATCCTGCATGTTCTGCGTGTCTCTGTTAATGAATGGTGCGGACGCGCGGTTTCATTTACTACACACACACTGAAGTGCGCCTGACACTCGCAGTGATTTCAGCGTCTTTCGTCTCACTAAATGAGGACGTAAACACATGAACAACATCTCCAGAACTGCTCTGAAGGTCACTTCATGAGCATTTTAGCATTTGATTTGAGTAAAACTAGCATCATATCACATACACAGAACAGTAAAGGTATTCACGGCAACCCGTCAAAATAAAAGTCCGGTTTGATTTAAAGACATTGTGCCATAACTATTTTTCAGTAGAATGTACATTGCCTACTACTACTACTACTACTACTACTACTAAAATGAAACAAACATTATTTTTTAAGGAATAATCACACAAAACATTTCTTCAATGTTTTAATTTTAATAGTAAATCCCCCGTTGTTTGCCAAAAAATCTTGTTTGCTTAATTTTTCAATAATTAAAAGATAAATGATAAATTAAATAAATGATTTATTGCCTTCATTTGATAACCAGAAAAAAAAAAACATTTAAAAAATCACAAGGCTACTTTAAGAAAAACTAAATAAATGAATTAAGTTGTTTTATGCATTCAAATAATTAGACATGCTAAAACACAGAATTTGGTAACAATAAAAAAGATAAATAATATGGTGAGAAAAAATAAAACATTTCATAGGGCCCTAAACATGTCATTTTTGTTAAACTTTTAAAAAATGTATGTGAAAATGTATAAGTTTCATGATTTTAATTAATTAGACATGCTTTTTAATTAATAAAATTTAATTTAACTATTAAAAAGGAGTCGAGAAAAATTTTAACGGAAAAAAACAGAATCCAGAAAAATTTAAACGGAATTTAGGAACCTATTTAGGCTCTAACTATCGCTCAGCCTTGCCGCAATTTTGTGTTTTTCAGTTGAATAAAATACTATTTTTCCTCATTGAGGAACTCTTTAAAAAAAAGTCTAAAAATCTTGTCTCGTCTCGTTCTCGTGAACCCAGTCTCGTGTCTCATCTCGTCTCGTGGGATAAGTGTCTCGTCACACCCCTATTGAATACCTGTTTTTACTGTCTGTTTTATAAATTATTTTGGTCATACTTGAGGTAACGGTGGTGAGTTTATGGTGAAATGGAAGTATTTGACCTTAAAGTGTAGTCACATTTACCATTGTTCTACACATTTTCACAGGTAAAAACCAGTCATTTGGAAAACTTGTATATATATATATATATATATATTAGTGCTGTCAAACGATTAATCGCATCCAAAAAAGATTTTGTTTACATAATATGTGTGTGTACTGTGTATATTTATTATGTATCTATAAATACACACATATACAGTATATTTTGAAAATATTTACATGTTTATATTTATATTTAAATGATTTATATTACAGATAAATATTTAATATATAAACATAACATATTTTCTTATATTTCTTAAAATATACATGTATGTGTGTGTATATTTATATAGACATAATAAATATACACAGTACACACATATATTACGTAAACAAAAACTTTTATTTTGGATGCAATTAATCGCGATTAATTGTTTGACAGCACTAATGTATGTGTGTATATGTATGTATATTTGTATGTTTTTGAAAGCGGTCACTTATGCTCAATAAGGCTGCATTCATTATATCAATACAATAAATGCATTCATATTGTGAAATATTAAAATTTTAATACATTATATGTGTTAAATGTAGGCATAGTTATATAGGTATATATGTTTTCTTTTTCTATTTAGCATCATTGTCACATGATCCTCCAGAAATCATTCTAATATGCCGATTTAATTCTCAAGAATTTTCATATTAAATTTGAAAATGGTTGTGCTGCTTAATATTTTTGTGCAAACCATGATAATTATTTCCAGGATTCTTTGATGAATATGACGTTTAAAAGAACAGCATTTATTTAAAATATAATTTTTTACTGTCACTTTTGATAAATTGAATGCACGCTTGCTGAATAAATTTGTTGATTTTTTTTTTTGAGGTCTTTCTGAACACAAACTAATGTAATAAACTGTATATGTGTATATAGCTAAAATAATATAAAATGAATTGAGTATATAAAAATGCATTGTTTTTTTTCAAAGCAAACATTCTTGGTTTTCCTAGGGTGGCACCTTCACTATTTCCAATCTGGGCATGTATGGCATCAAGCATTTTTCAGCTATCATTAACCCTCCTCAAGCCTGCATTCTGGCTGTGGGCGGCTCAGAAAAGAGACTGCTGCCTGCAGACAACGAAAAAGGGTGAGCAAAGGAAATAGAGAGATATTAATTTGCCATCAGCCCTACTTATAATCATGGCGCTTTTAAAACAGTTCCTCCAGTCAGTGCGTGTGTTTTCTGTGTGTCTCTAGGTTTGATGTGGCAAGCATGATGTCTGTGACTCTGAGCTGTGATCACCGGGTGGTGGATGGCGCTGTTGGCGCACAGTGGCTGGCCGAGTTCCGCAAGTTCCTGGAGAAACCGTTCACCATGCTCCTGTGAGCAGGACGTTTAAAGGCTCCTGGCCCCAAAAACAAAAAAAAAACAGTGGACTTTAAGATTTGGAGAGGTCTCTCTCATTAGTTATATGCTTGCCCTGGGAATTATAACAGGTGGTTCTCTCCCTCTTTTTTATTTTCCTTATCACTCACATACTCCCTTTCATATACTGTATTTTCAACATTGCTTCCTAAAACCTGAGGTAACCTCTCAACCCAAAGTCATAAGTCATTGTTAAGGTAATTTTCTGTAGTTTCAGAGGATAATGCAAGGGTTTTCATCTTCCTTCAGGATATTGTTACAAGCACCGTAAGTCTGTGTTTGCCATTAGATCAAAGAATAATGTCTGTGTCCATGGCCAAGTCTCATGGTTTGTACCTGCAAGCTTTGACTTGTTTCCATGTATCAATGACACATTCATAGGCACAATATGAGTATCCTTAATGTACAAGAAAAAGAAGAAAAGATCTGGAGATGTGTGTGCCAAATATTGTCTGACTACAATTGAAATTTATTTATGATACATTATTCAGTGCATAGGTTTATTTTCTGTATTGCTGCTTAGTAGTCATATATTTGGTCACTCCCTGAGTTAAATATGTGGCGTATTCATGATGGTTGTTCCACTGAGACTGAGTGAGGATGCTTCACAGCGTCTTGGTATGTGGGCAGAGTTTTGATATAGGCAATTTTATTTGTTACATCTCTCACTCCAGACAAAGCACGTTAGTGCCTTTGCTCCTGTTTATAGCATTTTGGTATTTCTTTTTAAATGGTGGTTCTATTTTCAAGTCATTCTTTAATGAATAACGCACAATTCATGGGGTGAACTGCTGTTATAAATAAACCTATGGAGAAACAAAAGAAAGGTTCCCAAATGGAATAAAACACTAGAATGAATATACATATTTGTATCGTGTAGGGAAAAAACGGCTTATTCAAGCTGATTCGACATGCAGTCAGTGCAATTAGGACAAACTGGGAGCTTTTCATGAGGGAAAAAATATGACCAATATTATATCAATATTTAAAATGACAAAAAAACATGAGAGGGAATAAAAAAATAAGACATTCAAATATGATATGTTGCACATTGTTATATTTCTGTAAAGTTTACTTGTGTAATCTTACTGGTCTACCATGTCATGCAAACTATAATTTACTTATTTACATTTCAGTACATTTCTATAAGGGATAATCACTTAATGTGAATAGAATATTACATAAAGAAAGTGTTATCGTCTTCTGACGTTCTTCTCCACTTTTATTTTAGATGGATAGTATTGCATAATATTAGAAATAATTTGTTGTAAAACGTGTTTTATTGTCTCATGTCATGAACATTTAAACATATTTCCTTCACATGTGAGGCGCATATTAAGTGTTCTGATAACAATATTAATCCAAATGGTTATAAATGCATAGCGATTTTCATTTTCAAAGTAGACCTACAATGCCGTCTGGCGAGTTTAGAAATGAGTAGAAAGTCTTTGAAACAGTTCACGTGTATGTTTCACTTGCATTTTAAACTATATATGTTTTTGCCATCCACTAATCTGAATACATTGTTCATACAGAAATTTTTTTTTTGCAGTTGACTACGCGCAAAAACCGGACGTGACGCTATAGTAGCGGATGTAGCGTCGATCAATTTTCCCGCGTTTTGGGTAGTTGAGGAAATAGTGGAGAGTTGCGGACACAAACAAGCGATCTCAGGCTCCGACATCCAACCACTAACCACAACAGCAACCTCAACACCAGCCCGCCGCTTGTGATCGCTCGCTGTGCTGTGAGTGAACGCGCTCTTCATCGCGACACCGTCGACATGCCGCCGAAGAAGCGCAGCAGCGGGACCCCGCAGAAGAAAGTGCTCAAGGGGAACATGAAGAGCGGATCTCCGGACAGCGGCGAGAACGCAGTGCTGAGCTCCGAACGGTGAGCTTACACCGCGCCACTGCCTCGAAAATAAACCTCAACGACACAACACACTGTAATGAATGAGTAGTACTGACAGGCTTTGGTTATTGATGATGGTAGGAGAATATGCTGTATGAATGAATAAGAGTTATAAACGGTTATAAATGACAGTTTCTAAACGTGTTCATGCTTCTATTTTTGATAGCAAATAGTTTTTAATTACTTTACGCATCCAATATTTAACTGTGCTCACTATAGTATTATTACATTAACCACCGTTAAGCTATAGGTACTACAAAAAACTATACTGTAGCTAGTAATAAATGTTTATTGGCCTATATTTGGCCACCATTTCTGTTTTCACTTTTAATAGAATAGTCAAGTAAATATTGTGTAAATTATTTCATTCAACATTTATGTGTATTGTGTACATCTATTATATACATTCCATTTTGGTGCCTGCATCAAATAAAATTTACAGAAGTGATTTCATATACTTTATTAAATGCAAGTAAAGTGTCAACTTTATATAAATAAAATGTCAAAATATGTTCCATTATCATTCAGTGTAATAGCCTATATATTTGTGTAAAAATGAAACAACTTATTCTGACCATATCTTATTAAAATATATAGAGCCTAAATAGTAAAAAGGATCTTATATACTGCTCCCGTAGTTCCCAAACAGCTGAGAAATGTTTATGTGTATAAGTAATGTTGCATGACCAGCAGCGCCAGTATGGTGACCACCCCACAATAGTGTCAGTCACCTCACAATGCGTTTACTCATGTCTGTCAACTGTGTTGTTTTACCAGACACAAGGACAAGGAGCCCGAGTTCGTGTCTCTCAGTGAGGAGCTTCAGGCCACCAATCCCATCTGTGATCATGCGTGGAGAATTTGGGAGAGGGAGATCAGGTCGATGGACAAGGCAAATGTGCGCCTTCCTCTTATGTCTGCACTACCAATCTAATGCGTTCATTTATGAATATGTGATAACACAAACGTGTGTCCTCCATGCTAGATGCCATATTCAAACAGACAGCAGTGGGGAGCTTGTCTGTTCATTGCAGGCATGGAGCTTGATGGCCTCAGCCTCACCTTCACACAGTTCCTGAAATTAGTTGGACTAAGGTATGTGTGGCAAAAGAATAGATATCATAGAGAAATCCTGGTTTTCTCGCTTGGGGTGAGCAGTTTGAGCTGTCTGAGTGTGGTTATGTCTTTAAGGTGTTAATAATGCATATACTACACTTAATTAAGTTGCTCTTCCTCTGCAGTGTGAAGCAGTTCATCAGTCTTGTGAGGAAGATGGATGTAAACGTGGACACAATAAGCCCTAAAGTGAACACCGCTTTGAAACGACTGGAGAACAAATACGATGTGACACTGGCTCTCTACCAAAGATTTGTGAAGTAAGTGTTGTTGTACAGTTTTGCTTTAAATTTGTAATAGAGTTGTTTTGTAATGAAAATAGGATTAATTTAGCAATGTTTTGGCATTTTGTTGATTTAATCAGCGTTCAAGATCTACTGACAACTGTCAATAAATTAAATAAATAAATAAACAGTAATATTTAGAACATTTTTTAGGTGTTAAAATAACTGTTTTCAGTTTTAATATACTTTAAAATGTAATATTTTTTGTAATAATTAATATTTAATATTCTTTGGCAAAGCTGAATTATCAGTGTCACATGATCATTCAGAAATCGTTCTAATATGCTGATTTGGTGCTCAAGAAACATTTCTTATTATCAGTTGTGCTGCTTAATATTTTTGAAACCATGATACATTTTTCTCAGGATTCTTTGAGAAATACGTGCAAAAGAACAGAACCTTTGATCAATTTCATGTTAATCTTTGCTGAAAAAAAGTATTCATTTTCTTTCAAAAAAACCTACTCGCCCCAAATCTTTGAATGATAATGTATATTGAGTAAAATAATTCTTTATTTCATTTCAGATATTTTTTTGACTGTCTTTGAATTGTGGATTTAATTGACTATAGTGAGGACATGTTGACTATAGCAAGTTTTGTATGTGTTCAAACAGGCCCAAAAAAAGGCCCATTAACACCACAAATGAGAAGTATAACAATAATTATGTTTGCGTCCATGATAATGATAATGTTCTGTTTATTATAAGCATGCATTGCAATGTCGAGACATGAAACACTTTGCGGTTTTGACATATTAGGCATATAAATAAAAGTGCATGTGTTTAAAATATAATTTGCAAATAGCTCAAAATGATTAGGTTACCTACCAACTAGAATTAGACCTCGAATTTCTGTCACTATTCTATTTCTTTATGCTTTATAAAAACACTTGGTCCCCCCCAGTGTTCAAGACATGGTTACAGCCTAGGTTTACAGGCTCATTACAGTAAAGGACTAAACGGTTACTAATCGGGTGATGTTTAGGCATGTCTCAGGGTGTGCTTGCCCTTCCCTCAGCAAGTCACTTGATTTAGATGATGCTTGCATTGCATCTCATTTAAAGAATGCGTGACTCATCTCACTCACTCCTTGGGTGATGAAACCTGTTGTGTATTACGGTGTTAAAACAGTTTTCTATTTTGCCTACAATAATTGCTTAAGCTTCTGTATTGCATGATCTGCGTTATAACTTGATGATTAATTTTTTGTCTATTTGAATGGTTAAAACCTTGAAATGTTTCTACATGTCATTTGTAAACCTGAAGGTGGCAGCAGCTGTCTCAGTAAAAGATAGATCCGCTTTGTGGGTTATTTGCATTTGATTAAGAGCCAGTTGGCCCCAGTCCAGTCTGTTCTTCTGCAGTTACTGAAAAACAGCGTGAACAGAAAGTCTAGTTATGTGGTCTGATTGAAGTCTATGGTCAAGCTGCAGAGTAGTGCTTTGCTTTTGTGTTTGGAGTGCATTGTGCCAGCAGGCTCTGTGGTTATTTGTGGCAGCCTCCTCACTGCATCAAAAATAAAGTTTTCACGCGTATGTGTCTAGATGTCAGCTACTTGAGAACAAACTGTAATATACACCGAAAGTCACGCTTTGTTGTTTTTTTTGGTTGTGTGGTTATAATGTACAGTATGTGCTAATGATGCACTAAAATTTTAATTGATAATCTAGGTATATTGAGTTTTTGTTATAAATGAGCAGTTGTTGAATAAATGTTTTTATTTATGTATTATTATTGTTGTTAATTTAAGTGCATTTATTTATTCAGCCTTCAGTTTAATTTCTTCCATGTCAAAGATTATCTTATTGAATATTAAACATTTTTGGCTATGATTTTTAGTCTGCTTACTCTATGCTTTTATTATAAATAATAACTGATAAATATTTTAGTTAGTAATATTTTTTAATTTGTATTTTTTTAGCTATTAAGTATTATTATTTATAGCCATTATTATTAATAATAATAATAGCTATTATTAATGCTGTTGTTGTTAATAATAATAATAATAATTGTAATTAGTTTTCAATTTTTTGCCATTTTGGTGCACCTCTAGTGCTTGCAGTCTCTAACTTAAAGTCCATCTTTAATTTCCCTCCAGGACTTGTGAAAAAATGTCTGCAGAGCCTGACAAAGCAAAGTGAGTAGAAATCCTGTTTCATTCTGTTGTTTGCCCACCTGTAGTTACCTAAAGAAGATTCTAGAGTTGTTCCATTAAACACCAGCGATCTTACTGTCCTATGTATGTTTCCTTCAAGGAGAACAGAGCTTTGGGAAAGCAGTTGGACCATGTTCCTCTTGGCCAAGGGTGAGTCATTAAGGAAAAATGGAAATGTTTGTCACATTCCATTGCTTGTCCATGTAAATAATAAGCCTTGTTTAGAGTTTCTGCTGTTGTAAGTGGAGTTTTCTGGGTTATATGTGTCATGGATAGAGTATCCTCATGGCCACATTGTCACTTCTTGTTTTTGTGTCATCTATCCTGTACAGGAACATTTCTGCAGATGGAGGATGACCTTGTGATAGCCTTCCAGTTGCTGCTGTGTGTTCTGGAGTTCTTCGCCAAGCGTTTCACTCCGTCTCTGCTTCAGTCACCCTACAGTGAGTGCTCCTCACATCCCTCTGTTCGGAGACATGTTTTAAATGCCATTGAGTAAATAAGTGAAAATAATTTATTTAGTGAGAATTATTTGGGCAAATACAAAAAATTATTGTTATCAGTGTTTTCCTGCTGGTATTTGCAGCATTTAGTACAGTAACAGTCTTTTCAGTGTCATTTTGTGGAGTGAAATTTGTTACTTACATTTGTGAGGACACCTTAAAAACAGCCTTATTTTACTTGGAATGACAAGTGGTTAAGTGCATTGCTTAAGGGCATAGTGATAGTATCTCAAGGATCAGCCTTTTCTGGCTTGTAACTACCCTGTTATCTCCGTTAACCGAAATTGTTATTATTCTTGTATTTTCATTTCAGAGTCAGCAGTTAGTTCATCCACCTTGAGTCCTCCAACTAGGACATCCCGACGTAATCAGGGCAAAGCCAAAACCCGTCCTCCAGAGATGGACGTGCAGTTGCTGGAAACATTGTGCAAGGAGAGCGACTGCAGTGTGGATGAGGTTGGCACTCATTCAGATACAATCCCATGAGCCGTTGCAAGCTTTCAAACACAGCTTGTGTCCATAAAATAAATCTTATTTGGATAATCACGTCTGCATTTACATAACTATGTGTGAGAAGAAGCTCATCACATGCATGGAGCTTTTTCTGTTTTCTAACCAGAGGTCGTGTTATTTTCTTTTTCAGGTGAAAAACGTGTACCAGACGACTTTTTGTGCGTTCCTGGACTCTGTGGGTCTGTCAGGACTCCAAGGACTTCCTCCTGTGAGTAATATGCAAAAAACAATACAAAAATAAAGTTGCTTCTGCTTTTGAGAGCTATAGGGTTTTTAGATAACTAATCAAATCCCCATGGGGTGATTCCCACCTTGGACTATGAATTTGAACTTGCCTGTATTGTATTTTATAACTTGTTACATGTTGGACTATGTACACAGTTTTATGGACTCTCTGTTTGCATGGTGATAATTAGGAATGTTATTGCAGGTTCAGCTCTGATTATTAACAAAAAAGTAACAGCTATGAGAAAGACATAAAGTACAATTTCCTTCCAATGTCTGAATTAAAGTAATGCATGTGACCATCTGTTCTGCTTTTATTGTAGCTGGAAACACTTTCCAAGCAATATGAAGAGCTGTACCACAAAAACAAGGACTTTGATGCCAGGTTGTTCTTGGTTGATGATGAGATGCTTTCCCCCAACAAAACAGAAGTGTAAGTGTGATCAAATTAAAATCATGTTGTCATACATTTTTGCAGATACATATGTTTTTGGAATAAATGTTGATATTCCTCATAGGTCAAAGGTGGAAATGACTCCAAGAAAGAATCTGTCTGGAGATGATGTTGCAATTCCAGTTCCACAGACCCCTATCAGGTGCGACTTTGCTCCTTTAGTAGCCAGAACATGAAAGAATGAGCCAATTCTCCTATCAACATTAATAAAAAAAAGCACCAAATCAGCATATCAGAATGATTTCCTAAATCTTTGAAACTTTTTTTTTGAAGAAGAAAAGCAGCTTGGGAATTTGCTCACTTGTCAGGGTCACTTGTGTGAATGGCATTATGTGCACCTAGCGGTTTTGTAATGCTTAAAGCTTATGCCACATGATGGGATTCCCTCTGAGATCTGGTTTTGGTGTTTTCACGTGGCCCCCAAAGCTCTGACTTATCCTGGGTTTTGCTTATTAATGGGAACAAACTGTACTCTAATGGATATTCGACTGGAGAGCTTTTATAAATGCATATCATTAATTGATTTCTTGAAGGATGTATATGAGCAAAAGTACCTCTTCTAACTGAGTTTGTTGAAGTTCACTTTCCAATAGCAAAGGTCTCCTTGAAAACATTTTACCATAATGGAAACTTTTCCAACCTTAAGTCCTGCAAGCACTTTTCTTTTTTCTCTCATGTTCCATGCTTTGTTTTTCCAGGGCTGCAATGAACTCTATACAGCAGCTCAGGGTTGATCTCACCTCAGTCAGTGACCAGCCCTCTAGCAATCTTGTAGTCTATTACAAGGTATTTCCTTTAAAAAATATTATGTTTGCTAAACAGAAAAGCCAGATCTATATTATACAGAAACAAAGTAATATATAATAATATATTTGGAATGTGTTTCTCAGAACTGCACTGTTGACCCATCCGAAGAGATCAGAAAGAGGGTTGAAGAGCTGGGTCAGGTCTTCATCAAGAGGTTTGCTCAGGCTGTGGGCCAACACTGTGAGGGGCTGGGCAGAAAGGTACTGCTAAACATTTTTCTTTTTACATTTATCACCATCATACTGGTACGGTTGTAGATAAGTCTATCTAATTTGAATCAGACAATATCAGGCCTTTTTGTTTATGCTGTCATAATAGTGGTAATTATTTCAATGTTTGTGAATCCATAAATGACACCCTAGATAACAGTAACTGGTTAGAAGGATTTTTAATACTACTGTTTAGCAAGGAGGCATTAAATTGTTCAAAAGTGACAGTAACATTAACAAAAGATTTCAAATAAATGCTGTTTTTAAAAAAAAAAATTAACTTCATTCATCAAAGAATCCTGAAAAGAAATGTATCTATGGTTTTCAGAAAAATATTAAGCAGCACAACCGTTTGATAATACATTGATAATAATGTGAAATGTTTCTTGAGCGCCAAGACTGCTGAAAATTCTGTCATTTTAATTTATTTTAAAATATATTAAAATGGAAAACAGTCATTTTAAATTGTAATAATATTAAACAGTATTATTGCATTTTTTTTATGATCAAAGAAATGCAGCCTTGGTGAGACGTTTTTTTCTAAAACCTTATCTTGTTAATATTTTATCAAACAAAAAAAAAAATAACCCCAAACTTTTGAATGGTAATAATGTAGCTTTTGTACAACAATGGGACAAACTTTATTGTGTGTATTTTCAGCGGTTTAATCTTGGTGCCCAGCTCTACTACAAAGTCATGGAGTCCATGCTTAAATCGGTAAGCCTTAATAAAACTTTCAATCATATTATTAGTCTTTTTTTTTCTGGTTGTCACATTTGTGCTGTTTTTAGGAGGAGAAGAGATTATCTGTACAAAACTTCAGGTAAGAACAATATGAACATCATCTCAGATCATTAACATTTATCAGATCATTACGGCCATAAATAATCTGTGGTTTTGTTAGGAATTATACACTGACAATTAATCATGTTACTTCCTTTTTCAGTAAACTTCTCAACAATGCAGCATTCCATACCTCATTGCTTGCATGTGCCCTGGAAGTTGTAATGGCAACCTATGTTGGTAAGTGCTTGCCATTTACACTTTTACAACAACTCAGTGTTATCCCAAGCCTTTTTTTAGCTTCAGTTTATAGATTGCATTTAAAATAGAACAATCTTGTATATATTAGCCGCACATGTTGCTTCCTTTTCCAGGGAACTCCTTAAAGAGTGGAGGTTTTGGCCGCAGCTTAGGGGCCAGCGATTCTGTGGAAACTGATCTGTGCTTCCCCTGGATCTTGGACGTCTTCCAGCTGCCTGCTTTCGACTTCTACAAGGTGATAGAGAGCTTCATTAAAGCTGAGCCCACCCTGAAACACGACATGATGAAGCACCTGGAGCAGTGCGAACACGTTATCATGGAGAGTCTCGCTTGGAAAGCGGTGAGTAACTGTCCACTGCCATTGTTTCCTTCAATTCAGTCACTAAAGCATCTGTTTAGCAAGCCTTCAGTTTAGTTTAGCTACTCTCCAACATGGCAGAGTGATGCTTTCAGTGTGACATATATGAAAAACAACCCTTTTTTTTTTTGTAAGCCTTTCTCTGCAAGCTTGTGAAAAAACGAGACACTCAGACTTTGCTCCTCCCGTGACATAGAAAGGGGATCTTATAATATTACCGCCCCTTAATCTGCAAGTTTCCACCCACGGCAAGCCATTGTTTTCGCAAGCGACAACAGTGTACCAGTTCTAACGCCATGGCGAAAGTTTGAGCAAAGCATGCTAACTGTTCTGTCTTTGGCTGCACAGACGAGCACAGAACACTATTTAGAGTCCCAGCCTCAGAGGAGACAAGAGAGCCAGTGGATTTATTGATTTATTTACTGTATATTATTATTATTATTATATTACACACAGATCTTATATAAACGTACGATTTCTTTCACAGCTGTTTAACTTCACAAACATAACTGACTGTGTTTTTGTAACTCGTATGTTTTTAACAAATTTGTGTGTATTTGACAGTTTAAGCGCAATAAGACATGAAAGAGAACTTGGTTTAGTACTCCCATGCTGTGTGACAGCCACTTTCTGTGCACGTGCTTCAGATATGTGCGCTCAGAAAACTGTAAATCAAAAGTTTAAACTGATATGGTTTAAAACGCATGATTTCAACGTGATAGACATGATAATTAAAACCAAACAGATGTTTTGTAGCAGAGTATCTGAGGTACAAGCTATAAAGGCACAGCCCTATTCTGGAAAAAGGGGGTTGGGAACAGCAGCTCATTTGCATTTAAAGAGACATGCATGTGTCTGCTTCCACTCAAATTAGGCATTTTCAAAATTATATAATAAATGATCTGTGGGGGATTTTGAGCTGAAACTTCACAGACACATTCTGGGGACACCTGATACTTATTGCATCTTGTAAAAAGGGGCATAGCAGGTCACTTTTCATGCTCCATTCCTGAGCAAACACCTCATTGACTAGCACTTCCTCTGCTGCCGGTCGGCTCTTTGTGTACCAAACTACTAGAAAAGTAGTAAATAAGGGGGTTCAGGCAGCAGTTAGTGCTGACCAGTGAGAGCACTACGGGATGAAGCACTTTTGTGAAGTGAGCCAGGCCGCAGCTGTGCACAAGACCCACTTGTGTAAGAGTGTAACCTAGCAGATTGAGGTGATAAGGGGTAAAGCAGAGAAAAAAGTCCACCAGGACCCAGTAGATGACAGTGAGTGTGCGTCGGTGCCGGATCTTCCTGCGGTGCGGCAGCCTGCGGTGCACACTGAGTATGCTGCAGTAGCTGAACAGCAGGAGCAACAGGTAGGCGATTTGCACCAAGCCGAGAGCAGCTAGGATTATAGTACGGTGGCGTTTGGAAGATGGATCCAAGAGGCATGACTTGTGCCATCGGAATGCCGCCGAATACAGAAAGGGCAGAGTTAGGCTAAGTGCCAGAACCAAGCACCAGATCCCAACGCTGAGCATGCGGGCGGTGCAAACCTTCCTCAGATGCTGATGTAGAGGGTGAACCACGGCAAAGTAGCGGTCTACTCCAGTACAAACCAGGAAGAAGATTCCTCCGTATAGGCTGATATACTTCAACGTTAAGGTCAGCTGACAGAAAGCATCTCCTGGAGACCAGTCGTCGGTGAGGTTGAAGGTAGTGGCAGCTTTGTTGTGGTAATAATAGATGCGCAGGGGGAGGGAGATCACAAAGAAGATATCCGCAGCGGCCAGGTTGGCCATGTAGACGGCCGTGCTGGTGAACGTCCGAGGCATGTGGCAAAAATGCCGCAGTGCTGTGGCATTGCTGAGTACGCCGAATATGAAGATCACGCTGTAGGAGATCTTGTAGTAGATGAAGCGGTAGCTGGTGTCCACCGTGCAGTTGGCTTGAATAGATATGTACGTTGTGTTATGGAGATCCATGATCACTTTCAGCTTGGCCGGCCTTGGTTTGCATCAGTCAAAACCTGCTTCTTGCAGTCCAGAGCCATATGAGGAACCTGTCTTTGGCAAGAGGGGAAATGTATGGTTATACCAATACTAACATTTTGAACTGTAATATAATAAGAGGTTTCGGGCACCATGGAGTTAGACTTCTATTCATTTGGTTACAATCCAGAAGGCACCTCTTCATATAGCCACCTCAAAACGTAGAAGGAAATTTACAAAGTTACAACTTCCTCTTCATGTAAAGCGAACCACCTGCTCTCACCTGGTCATAATCAGCTAGGGCGGCTGTGTCTATATGACCTGGGTTTATGAAAAGGAAATGTAAAGTGATTGAATTATGACAGAGGAGGACTTCATTTAGAAAGCAGCCATTGCTTGTTATTTGCGCACATAGTAAATGTGCACATTTAAATTGGTCTTATGCATGTTAAATTGATTGAATAGAAAGAATAAATTTTGTCTGCTATATTAATACTTTCAGAAATGTTTGGTTTAACCTTAGTATAAAAACATGGAAAAACATATTCAGTGTTGATAATTTTTTCATTTATCTCTAACTTTGTTCAAAATCTGAGTAGATTTTATAATTTGAGTCTGTTTAAATATGCTACTTATGTTATATGCTATGTATTAATAGAAATGCGCATAATATGGCAGTTTCGGTTAGAAAATGTATTTTATTATTACACTGAGTGTATATAGGATAAATAAACTTTAACAAACTCCTAGAGCAGCCTTGTCTTGATGGGAAAATTGTAGATAGCACTTCTAAATTGTAGATAGCATAGATTAAGTAAAAATAAACTCACCATTTTGCTTTATCTCATCCATCTTTGGCTAAATCTTCACTCCGATCTCTCTTGGTTAGTTGAACATGCTCTGTTCACTCTCAAGCTTGAGTGAAGGTGCCTTTAACAGATATTAAGTCTTTATATATATATATATATATATATATATATATATATATCTCTCAGTATATAGTCACACTAAATCAATAAATGTGTGTGTGTATGCATGTGCCATATAACTGTTCAAATCTGGATGGGGGAGTGGATTTATTATTAATATAGTAGGTTCAGGTCTGGATACAGATGCAATCTACTTAAAATAGAAAGTGCAAAAAAAAAAAACAGCATATACAGCTGGAACCTTTTGTTAATATATATATATATCTCAGTATATAGTCACACTAAATCAATAAATGTGTGTGTGTATGCATGTGCCATATAACTGTTCAAATCTGGATGGGGGAGTGGATTTATTATTAATATAGTAGGTTCAGGTCTGGATACAGATGCAATCTACTTAAAATAGAAAGTGCAAAAAAAAAAAACAGCATATACAGCTGGAACCTTTTGTTAATCATACAGTTTCAATTTTTAAAACGTATTTGTTTTCTTAACATGTACAAGTCAAACAGAATATAAGACTTTATTTACTGCGAATTTAAATTAATTAAAATGTTGCTTCTATTACTTAATTTTTGTTTTTGGAACAAATCAGAATCAGAATGAGCTTTATTGCCAGGTATGTTTACACGTTAAATGAGTCCTGGTAGGAATGCACATGTCTTCACAGAAAAACCGAATTATATAAAAATTGGTGATTTACAAAACACATAAAAGGACTTAAAAAAAAAAAGGTTAGTTGACAGAAAAATGCCACTGTATTTTATCTTTTACTTTGATCTTGTATAACCATTTTTGGTTTTCTGTGATATCTTGTACATTGCTGTTGCAAATTCTGCTGATTTCTCACAAAGATAATGTTATCTAACTGGCTGACGTAGATGAGGTTTTGCCAAAATATCAAAAATTAATTTTGGGCATCACTGAAAAGCATTTGTAAAAATGTGTTGAACTACAAAACTGATTTAGTAATGTTTGCGTCGTATGTCATCATTTTACAGCAAAATGAATTTATGAAGTGACAATATAGCTATTTATTTTCCAGCTTGTTGAAAATTTTCATTTTGTTTACTGTATTTTGACCCCTTTAGTAACTTGCTTTCACTTGTCTGTCTCGGTCCAAGGATGTGTTGTGCTGTGTAGCTGGATTTTTCCAGGACAGTGTATGTTTTGGCCTATTTAAATGTTAAGCACTACACAGGAAAAATTTGTTTAGTTGGTCTATGCATGTCCAAAAACTGATTCATCTGATCCAGTGAATGATTTCCTCAGTTTCCTCAGAATCAAATCTTTACGGATCATTACAAACATTCACAGGCAGTATCAGATTAAATGGCTGTTTTATCTTTTTATGTTTACTAGGGATGCTCCAATCCGCCTTTTTCGCCTCCGATACCGATTCCGATACCTAGGGTTCGGTATTGGCCGATACAGATACCGATCCGATACCAGTGAAATTTTTTCCCCCCATTTAAATAAATGTAGAATTTTATATATCTCTGTGTGTGGAACTGATCATCATTCTTTCACAATCTACTAGATACAGACTACTTCATTATAAAGAAAAATAAAATAAACAATAAATATGAAACAATATAGACCTATGTATATTTATAATCTATGACAAAAATGTATCATAAACTAGGTTAGTGGATAATTCGGCATCAGGTGCATTCAAGTCAGTTTAGTCGGCACAAGATGGCGGTGTACCTTTTAATAAATTACAAGAAAATACAACAAGGGTCTGTTAACTCTGCTTATAGAAAATGAAGAACAAAGAATTCGCATCCGGTGTGTTTTGCGTTTTTAATATTTTTAAAAAGTAATTTATGAAGCCACTTTAATCTGTATCGTATAAAAACGTATTAATTGTTATATTACAATCCTGCCACATTCAAAAAGCTTATTTTTTTGTAAATAAAAATCCTGACTATGTCACTGCTTAATACCTATAAGTATTGTGATTTATGTTTTACTTTGGCAATCTCTCTGTCTCCCTCTGTCAGACATGCAGTTCTACAGTACTTGTCACTGACAACCCACTAAACTATCATTTAAAAAAAATTTTACCGTCAACTACAGACGTTGCATCCATCGATTCCGCCATGTTTCTCATTAACACGCCCCCAACTCGGAAACTCGGGGCTTAAAGAAAATTTCGAGTTTCCCACTCGTAATAACGACTTTTTGTTGGCATTCATGTGCGTTCAACTCTATCTATCCGACATGACTTGAATGCACCATATGAGCACGTAGCGCTTACAATGTGCGCATCCGGTGTGCAGAATGATGCTCTTGAAGCAACATGTAGTCACAGCCTGACACTGTGTTTCTTCAAGCGCATCATTCTGAACACCGGATGCGCACTTTGTAAGCTCTTCGTGTTAAAAACTGCAAAGTACAAAGGGAAGAGAAATTGATGCGTAATGTATTATATCTGTGCAACAGTTATTGAGCCTTTCTTTTAAGTTTTAAATTTCAGTTACTGTGCACGTTAAAAACTATTTATAGTCTTTTCTACGCCCGTGTTTTGTTCTCACAGACACCCAGTAGCAAGTAACAAAACAACATTAAACTCCGGCAAGAAGATAAAGTCCTTTTTGCAAAATCATAGACATGGATTTACAAATCAAGTATAATGGGAACACAGAATGATCTTGGAGAGAGCTTTACCGAGCTGACTGCTGTAACTGAACGCGACCAGGGTTTAAAGGCTGAACGAATGACTGACAGCCACAGCGGAGAAAAGAGTTTGTGTGAACTTTAATGTAAGGACTTAAATATTCATATGTAGCTCAC